TTCTTTTGGTGCCGTAGCAAGAAAGGAGAAAGGGAGAAGAAGAACTTGGAGCCGGAACCTGCTGCATCCATTGGGTTTTTCAGAGTTCTTCCCTTGATTAGTTCAAATGTTTATTCTATATTGCTTTTCAATTATTATGAACATGTGTAACTGAATTTCTTCTTAGTTAGAGGTGAATTCGAAGCCATGGACATATGTTTTACATGAATTGATTACTTCCAGTTTATGGTTTCATAAAGTATGAATGTGATTTACTTTTCTGTTTTATTGAGGACTTATTCTTGCATGTTTATTAAGGATGCATACTTAGTTTGTATGCAGGGATTTGATGCTAGAATATAAGGGAATTTCACCTAATCGTTATGAACTTATATTCACAAGTAGTAAAAGTCACTAGTCATGATTGTGTTAAGTAAATTCTTGGCAGGAGTATCATGCTTTTCATAGTTACAATTGTCTTGTCAAGGCTTATGATTTTCATAGAACTTAATGATCTTTGATATGTATCTCTATCATGCTGTTCATATAGGGAACTTGATAAGGATAATTTGATTGCGTCGCTGAGTCCAATTCAATGAACTTAGGAAAATCTGAGAGTTAATTAGTGCATTCACAATTAATTTGGGGCTTTGTCATTCATACTTTATAGAAAGAGTAACTGGAGATCGATTTGTGTGCATATGTTCCATGTGTGGAGAAGAATCCTCAAGCTATCCCTTAATCCATATTTCATTCACAACTTAGTTGTTTGCTGCTGTCAGTCTTACTTTAGTCTAAATCGTCAGAATTCCCCCCAATCATTGTTCCCTTAACTTAGTTTCCAGTTTAATAAGTTTAATTTGTGTTGATTAGCATCCTCCTAATCCCCGGAATAGAACGATCCCTACTTACTCGTACTACGATTGCATGATTTATAGGGTTTAATTTGTGCGTTAGTTATTTCTCACGCCAGGAACTTGTTGGATGGTGAAAGTAGGGAATTCTTTCAAAAGTCCTTGGACTTTGTCGAGGTACTGTACCATTCTTGGATGCTTTGCCATGTACTCGCCTGAGGCTTGATTTGTGATCAGCTGGGAATTCGAGTAGATGACCAATCTCTTGATCGACAGTTCTTTCGCTAGGCGCAGTCCTGCAAGCAATGCCTCATATTCTGCCTCGTTGTTTGAAGCAGAAAAGAATAGTGTGATAGCTTGTTCCAACAAAGTTTCATCTGGGGTGATTATGACGACTCCTACTCCCGCTCCTTTGTGATTTGATGCTCCGTCTACATGCAACTGCCACATGTCGTTAGGTAGGTTCGAATCGGTGGGGGAGGTGTCGTATGCTTTTCCCTTGCTTTTCGTGACCATCTTCTCTTCTTCGGCTGTCCGAATAAACTCTACAAAAAAATCTGCTAAATCTTAGGCTTTTATAGCAGTCTTCGCCAGGTAGAGAAGGTCGTATTGACTGAGTTCGATAGCCCATTTCATGAGTCGATGAGAAACGTCGAGGCTGTGGAGGATCGATCTCAAAGGAAATTCTATCATGACAATTATCCGGTATGCTTGATAGTAGGGCCTTAGTTTTCTCGCAGACACGACAAGCGCTAAAATGAGCTTCCCCATTTTCGGATAGCGAGTCTACGTAGACCTCGAGAAGGTTTTGGATGTGGTCTCCTCGCTCGGGAGCTTTGACAAGCATGTCGTCTACGTAGACCTCCATAGTCTTGCTAATTTACTCCTTGAAAATTTTGTTCACCAGCATTTGGTAGGTTGCTCCAGCATTCTTCAGCCCAAAGGGCATGACTTTGTAGCAGTATGTACCTCTTTCGATGATGAAAGAGGTCATTGCCTTGTCGTCTTCATGCATCATGATTTGGTTGTAGCCAGAGTAGGCGTCCATGAAGCTTAGCAGTTGGTTGCCGGAAGTTGAATCGACAAGCTGATCAACGAGAAGTTGTCTTTACGGTATGCCTTGTTGAGGTCGGTGTAGTCGACGCACACTTCCACAGACCTTTATCTTTCTTCGCTACTAGAACGACGTTCGCCAGCCATTATGCGTAGGAGACTTCTTCAATGAAACCGATAGCTAGAAGCTTGTCGATCTCGGCTTTAATGATGGCTACCCTCTCGGGGGCGAAGTTGCGTCTCTTCTGCGCTACAAGCTTGATAGTTGGGTTGACGTGTAGGCGATGGCAGATGATCTGGGGATCGATGCCAGGCATGTCAGATGGAGACCATGCAAATACGTCTTTGTTGTTCTGGAGGAAGGCTGCAAGCTCTGCCTTTTCCTCCTGGCTTAGGCGCGAGCCGATCCGCGCTTTTCTTTCTGGCTTGTCAGGATTAAGGGGTACTAGCTCAACGTCCTCCTCGGGCTTCCATCCTTCTTCAGGAGAGACCTCTGGACGGATTCCCTCAACTTGGTCCTGATTCTTTGATTGCTATTGGGGAGTAGTTATTCCCTTTCCTTTCTGGTTTGCTCGGCTGTTAAGAATGAGATTTGCTTTCTCCTCTGCTTGTTCTACTTCCTTTAGATCTGCTTGATTCACAGGGAGGAACTGCATTTGCTTGCCTTTCCTCAGCCCTTGAGCTGAGCATTTCCTCGCCATTGCTTGATCGCTGTTGATCTAGCCGATACCACCCCCAAGGATTGGGTAGCGAATCTTCTGATGTGTAGTGGAGGTGATGGCGTTGGTCTTGCTGATCCATGGTCTGCCTAGAATGCCATTGTAGGGTGAGACTTCATCAATGATCATGAACGTCGTTAAATTCTATAATACGTCGTTATATGAAAACCCCAACTTGGTAAGATTTAAAGATGTCGTCGTAGAATACGAGAAAGACATCGTTATATTTACCTTTGCCGTAGTTGTACATTAATTTAATACGGCGGTATTTTGTATTTTACCGCCGTGGATTTATTTGTAATTATACGGCGCCTTATACGAAAACTTGGTCGTGTTAATTTCTGGGTAAAAACGACGTCTTTTTTGAAACCGTCGTCTTTACTTTCCACGTCGGTCGGTTCATAACTTCCGCCGTTATTTGTTGGCTATGATTTTACCTCTTGAAAATCCTATTTCAATAAGACGTCGGTTTTTTAATTAAGTACGTCGTGTTTTAGGAACAGCCATTTGAAACTCCATTTTTTAGTTGTCTAATGTGTTATTACACGGCGGTTTTATAAAACCGTCGTCTTTTAAAAAACAACGACGGTTTTCACTTAGACCGTCGTGTTTTTCTGGTCGTCTTTTTCACTTTTTGTAGTAGTGGGAGATGTGTTTATAGTGTAAACCGGGCGGCCGTAGCCTTATGTAAAAGAGAGAGAAAAAGGAGGTGGCTAGGGTTTGAGAGGAATTTTCTGCAGAGTTTCAGTAGGGATTTCAGACGTACCCCAACCCTTGTGTGTGGCCATCCTTTTATAGTTGTCTTGGAGGCTAGGGTTTCAGAGGAATAATTCCGTAGATGGAAGGGAATTATTCCTCCCCTTTTTGGAATTGATTTGATTAATTAGGGATTTGATTTATTAGGGTAAATCAAATCCCTAATTGTGGTAGGTATCAAATCAAATCCTAATTCAATTAGGTAACTCCTCATTTAATTGGGAATCGTGGTAATTAACCAAATCAATTTTTAACCCAATTAGGTAATGCCCAATTTAATTGGGTAATCCCCAATTAAATTGAGTAACTCCCAATCAGGTTAATTAATTCCCAATTAGGTCAAATAATCCCCAAATGGAATGAATTATTTGACCTATGGTTTTGATTTAATTTGGTTACCACACCCATTTAGCTTGCAAACAAACCAACTCTCACTCAATTGGCATGGAGTGAGATAAAATGACCACAATAATGAAAATTATTTAAGATAAAATGGGAAGTCTTACATTCTGCAATAAACGAGAGCAGGAGCAAAGTGAAATCTTTTATCATTGTTAATGACCTTATAGGTCATATACCTGCACAAGCACCTTCCTTTCAACTATCCATGATTCAACATATATAAGCACCTTCCTCTGATACCACATTCTATGCACACAACACCAAATATATGTAACTTGGTACATGAACATGAAGCACTTCAATAATAAAAATAATAAAACACTTAGAAACTGACTACCTATACACAGTTCCCCAACTAATCACAGAAAGAATTCAACAAGGTCATTTAACTTGCCAATTTGCCATGCCCACTTAGCCAACTGCGGCACAAAAAATTCTTAGAATATATATATATATATATATATCGATTAGTATAGCAAACATACAACCCAAAAATGACATAACAGCAAATTGAATTAGAATCCAAACAACGAACCAAATCAACATCAATGGAGGGCTCTCTCCCCTTCAATAAAAAGAAAAAAAAATCGAGCTGCTTAGAAATCCCAATGTTAAGAATCTAAGATGTTGTAATTTTTGACCCAAAACTGAAATCCCAGGATTGTATCATGTATGTAATATTGCTATATTTCCATTATCCGGTTTCTGTATTAACTATCAAGTATTCAAGTGTGGTGTGGTTCTCTTGTATCGTTTCTCTGTCTGTGGTTAAGGATTTTGTATCTGTTTCTTGGTTAAGCATGGTATTGTTGTTCGCCATGGCTGCTTTGTTTCTGTGCTTCGTTTCTGGTTAGTTGAGTTTGGGATTTGAAACCCAGAGAATCTGTAATGCCATTCCTGTTACTTCTTTTGAGATGTAATTCATATGTGGATTCTTAGTAGTAATGGTAGTTTCTTGTGCATTCTTGCTTGAATATTTAGGTCAAGATTGTACATTTCTGGTTTTCTGATTGTAGTCTGTTAATTCTCTGTCCTTGTACGTGTTATCTTTTTACATCATATGAATTGAAATATGACGCTTTATTCCATGTTAATTGCTCCGGATTAATGCTTCTCTCCTTTGTACATGGTCTACATGTTACTTATTTATTTATCTTGATACAAAGGAGAGAACATGTAGCACAAAAGCAAAGTAGAACACATAAATTTATGTATAGAGAACATTAATTAGTACTTTCTACTTCTTGGATAAAGGAAGAGGTGCCAAGGATGATGTAGCACAAGCAAGAGCCTTTTTCATGCCAGTAATTGTGGGCTTGACATTAGAACACAGAGAGGTAAGAGGGCCTTGGTCTCCACCGTAGGTGAGATCAATGTCAGTCAACTTCACATTCTCACACGGTAGGCCCCTGCTACATACAAGCTTGACTGCAAGTGGAGTGAAAGATGAGCCCTTAATGTTCTTGAAGCTGACATTGTTGATCTTAACTTTTGACGGAGGCTTTTGGTCACACCGAGTATATGGGCAGTACAATTGGTCTATGAGGATAGGGTTACTGACATTAACCATGATAATATTCTCATAGTGTATATCTGAGGCAGTACTGCTAGAAGGAGAATCTGGCCATGTTTTGATTCTCACACCGTTCTGTGTATTAGTCAGGGTGCAATTCTTAACTATGATCCCAGTCACAGCCTTTTCTTCCTTATATCTTCCAAGGCTTCCAATGCTTATGCCATGGCCTGGCCCACAAGTAACATCAGTCACTGTGATTTGGTGGGAGTCATCACCAATAGAAACACAGTCATCTCCAGTTCTAATCTTTGCATGAGTAATGTTGATACCAGTCGAAGCCCCGATATGGATTCCATCTGTGTTTCTGCTCTCTTCAGGTGCTGTGATGGTAAGATGTTGAAATGTAGTATGCTTGCATCTGAAAACATGCATGTGGAAATTTTTGCTATTAAGTGAAGTTATGTCCTGAACTCTGGAATTGGTGATGAATTCGAACCTCAGATTAATGGGAATAGGTTTGCAATTTTGTTTTTGTGGCAGTCATTTTGACCCCAAACAAGTGCTCCTTGGCCATCAAAAGTCCCACCACCTGATAAGGTGAGCTTGTCAATGTATTGAAAACCAACCCAAGTATCTGGTCTTGTGAATTGGCCAGCGTTTGCTGGAGCCTGCAATGTGCCTCGAACTTGCATCTCAATAGGAGCCTTACAGGGGCCTCTGAAAGTTGCTTCTTTTAACTTGTATGTCCCGCTCGGAACAACAACTTTACTTGCCGATGGAGATGCACATGCATCACTCCAAGCCTTGGCCAAGGCCTTTGTGACATCAGAGCCAGGCTTTGCACCGTATGTTGCACTTGTCACATCAAACACACTAGGATTAGCTTTAGCTGTAGATGCTAACAATAAGAACAAAAGCATTGCCAAGAATCTTAATTTCAGAGCCATTTTGATTTTCCTTCCACTTTGTTAATTTTCTTCTCTCTTTTTTCTTTGTAAGGATGATGCAACTCCATTTTGTGTTGAGGCCAATTTATAGTCCGATTGGGAAGGCTCAACACCATCAAACTATCCAACCAATCACTAACTATTTTTATACGAAGTTGCATTCTAGTTCAGCCTTACATCCTATAATTAGTAAGCTATTTAGCCTTAAGAATATTCATCACTAAATCTCTATCTAGAACGTGCTAAGTTGTTTGTCGTATTGCTGTCCTCCTCATATACTTCAAATTTCTAGAAAAGGAGGACCAAAACCATGCATGCATACCTGGATAGAGTTAATGAAATCAACAGAAAAGACCATGCCAATAATTGGCCCATTTACATATATACTTTTTCTAATCATCCATCATCCAACCTAATTAGCCTGGGTGTAGGTGAAAGAGAGTGGTAGTTATTCATATGAAGTATGTGTTTTATTAAACTTCAATTTTAAACTACTTTAGTTTTATGTTTTTTAGGCTTAACTAATTAATGATTCTCCCGCCCCACCCTCCCAATATTATATAAGTTTAGTCTCACTTTATCCCATTTTGTTGCCCTCACCTAACAGCATTGGTAGCAAGGGGCCCAAGGGGAGGGTTGGGGGGCGGGGGGGAGGGCAAACCCAAAATGTGGTTTCCAGCAACAAGAAGCTGCCAGGGCAAGCAGTGGGGCCCACATACCTGGGCTGGCCCGAGCGCCAGCCCGCAAGCTGTGCTGACGTCATCGCGCTGACGTCACGATGCACGCGCCAACTTTAAAAAAAATTTGACGCGCCGCTACAGTGACCGCCCAACAGCTCTCTTCCACGTGTCTTCTGCTGGGCCATCCGATCAGCTTCTTAAACATATCCAACGGCAGCCATTTTTTCGCGAATAAAAAAATCAAAAAGCAACCCCCAACGGCTCTCTGCCACATGGAAGCTTCTGGGCTCTCCGATCCTTTTTTTCCAGCAATCCAACAGCAGGCAATTTGTTGCCCAATAAAAAAATGAAAAAAAATCGGAAAAAATTTAAAAAAATACCAAAAAAATACTGAATTTTTTTTCTATAAATACCAACCAATACTCTTCACTTTTAACACCAACTCCTCATACATTTTCTTCTCCTTCTACTATTTTTCACTTTCTACTCAATTTTTTTTCACTTTCAAGTTGTTTTTTTCTCTATCATATTATGGGTTCTTCTAGTGAAACCGGAGGGGCATGGAGCATGATGGAAGATATTAGCTTGTGTGAGGGCTTGGCTCCAAGTTAGTCATTGTCCTGTAACGGGCAATGAGATCAAATTCTGTCATATGTGGAAAAAATTCATCAGGAATTTTGTGAAAGGGTAATTGGTTCGACCCGTACGGATCAGGCATTATCTAGTAGGTGGAAAATTCTTAATAAAGAGCTGGGAAAATGGAGAGATGCCTTGACAAAAGCGATGAACAACCATAGAAGCGGGGAAAACCTTAGCAGTGAGGTAAATTATTTGTAATTATTTGTTTTATTAATTTCTATGTCATATTAAATTTTATTTAAATGTTTCTTGCAATTTATATATTATGTTAATATTTCTTGTATTTCCAATATTAATATGAATGTTTCTTGCAATATTTATATTTTGTTTTGCATTTCTAATAAATGGTTAAAGTTTCTTGCGTTTCCATTATTTTTTTTAATACTTGTTGCATTGCCAATATTTTTTTTAGTTTCTTGTATTTCCATTTTTTTTTATACTTGTTGCATTGCCAATATTTTTTAAAGTTTCTTGTATTTCCATTATTTTTTTTTATACTTGTTCCATTGCCAATATTTTTTTTTCTTGCCTTTTTTGTATAGATTATGCAAGCACAAATGTTTTTTGGTGCTACTGGGCAAGGGAAAAAAAAGTTTCAACCATACCTTATGTTGGGAGGTGGTGAAGAATTGTAAGAGATTCCAAATTATTCCAACGGGTCCAACGATAGTGTTGAACGAGATGCCACTCCATGAGACACCGACATCGGATTCACCTATGGATTCCCCGATGAGTCAAGACTCACCTATCAAAAAAGAGCCGAGGCCTATTGGGAGGAAGGCGGCGAAGGCGAAGAGAGGGAGTAATTCTACCAAGAATACATCTAAATATTTGGAGGAGCTTTCAAAGATGCAAGCCATGAGAATTGAAATGGATATGAAACAACAAGAGCACGATAGGGCAATGGAAGTAGAATATGCAAAAGAAAGGGAGTATGTACGCCAAGGAAAGATTGAAAAAAATGATTGGGAAACCATGGCTATGGATACAACCCATATGTCCCCCGAAACAAAACAATTTTGGAAGTTAGAACGAAGGGATGTTATGAGACGAAGACTTTTTCGTGACGATGGACCTAGCAACACGGATTGGTTAAATGATCAAAACCATTAAGTTAGTTTGTTTGCCTTTCATTTCATTGTACCATTAAGTTAGTTTGCTTGCCTTTCATTTCATTGTATTTTTTGTTTTGTTTAAAAAAGTAGTTGTAATTCATGTATTTTATTTTATGAGTTGTATTCATTTTCTTTTAGTGAATGAAGAAAATATTCAACAAAATTCCTTTTTATTCAAAACATTCCATACATAAAAAGCAAACCACAACCAAAGCATAAAAAATAAACAAACCACAACCAAAACATAAAAAATAAACAAACCACAACTAAAGCATAAAAAAACAACAAAGCATAACTAAAAATACAACATAAACATAATACATTAAAAAAACATCTTCACTACACTTTATTGTCCTTCATTGCCTTTCACCGCCCACAAATGCTCCATCAAGTCCCCTTGACGGTGTTCATGAATATATGACGATTGCATCTCCGTGTAGCGCTCAATCATCCGATGCATGAAACTACCGTCTCTAACTAACGGATCATGCTGCACTGGTTCTCCATTCGGCCCCATAGGTTTTTCATAAATTCGTGTTAAGGCCGTGTTCATGGGATCTGGTTCATACACTTCATCAACATCGTAATCATACTCATCTTCCACAATCATGTTGTGGAGGATGATACAAGTCATCATTATACTCCTAAGCACCTCCTCATCAAATAGACGTGCCGCTCCCCTGATAATTGCCCACCGGGCTTGAAGGATACCAAAACACCTCTCCACATCTTTCTGTACCCCTCTTGATAGGCAGCAAAAAAAATTTCCTTGTGGGATCGGGGATGTGGAATTAATTTCACAAATGTTGTCCACCTTGGGTAGATACCATCAGCTAGATAATACCCGTTCTGGTAGACGGTATTATTAATTTGATATGTGATAGTTGGGCCTTCACCTCTCAGAACATCATTGAACACCGGGGATTGACCCAGGACGTTCAAATCATTTTGAGAGCCGGCAACTCCAAAGAAGGCGTGCCAAACCCATGTATCAAAACCAGCAATTGCTTCGAGGATGATGCTTTTCTGCCCTTTCCGATTCCCATAATCCTCTTGCCAAGCAGATGGACAATTTTTCCATTGCAAGTGCATGCAGTCAATGCTACCAATCATTCCACGAAATCCACGAGACTCAGCTTTTTGTAGAAGCCGTTGTAGGTCCCTGGGTGTAGGTCTGCGCAGGTAGTCCCTGGTGTACAGATTTTCCACTGCATCACAAAATCGCACCAAGCTCTCCAAAATAGTGGACTTCCCCATCCGGGCAATCTCATCCACCTGATTAGCAGATGACCCATACGCCAACATTTGTGTCACAGCTGTGAAATTTTGCTCGGGAAGCAGCCCCAAATCTCCAACACAATTTTTGTTTTGAACAAAGTAGTCATCATAATTGCAAATATCATGCATGACTTTATTGAACAAATGGGGTTGCATTCTATATCTTGCTCAAAATGAACATCAGAGTACATAGATTGTGGGATAAAATAATCTTCCATAAGATTCTTACCCCGAGAATGTCTATGTCTGTCCACATTCGGTGCCCGGCCTTCTCGTGAACCACGACGGCTCTTCTTTTCTTCCTCCAGCAAAGCAACGGCCACACCAAGTTGCTCATTTAGTTCTCTCTGCGCCCTTTTGCTTGCAGCTCTTCTATGCATTCTTACTCGCCTTTCTCGCTCTTGCCTCTCCAAAACCTCTTCCATGTCATCTGACATTGAGAATGGAGAATGAAATCTAAAATCTGATAAATGAAATCTAAAATATGAGAAATGAAGATGTAGAGAAGATATGGTGTGGGAGGTATGAGCTGAGCCTCTGCTTTTATAGAAAAATTTAGGCAGATAGAGATGACACGTTGCGCAATTTTAGAGGGTGAAAATCTTATCTGAAATTTGAAATTCACATGAAATTTGAAATTTGAAATTTATATGGAATTTGAATTTTGAAATATATCTGAATTTGAAATTTATCTCTTAAAAAAAAAAAAAAAAAAAAAAAAAAAAAAAAAAAAAAAAAAAAAAAAAAAAAAAAAAAAAAAAAAAAAAAAAAAAAAAAAAAAAAAAAAAAAAAAAAAAAAAAAAAAAAAAAAAAAAAAAAAAAAAAAAAAAAAAAAAAAAAAAAAAAAAAAAAAAAAAAAAAAAAAAAAAAAAAAAAAAAAAAAAAAAAAAAAAAAAAAAAAAAAAAAAAAAAAAAAAAAAAAAAAAAAAAAAAAAAAAAAAAAAAAAAAAAAAAAAAAAAAAAAAAAAAAAAAAAAAAAAAAAAAAAAAAAAAAAAAAAAAAAAAAAAAAAAAAAAAAAAAAAAAAAAAAAAAAAAAAAAAAAAAAAAAAAAAAAAAAAAAAAAAAAAAAAAAAAAAAAAAAAAAATATAACTTACCCCTTATAACTTACCCCTCATTATAGTCTGGCCGTATTTTTATACCCTATATACTTGGTTTTTAAAGAGAAATTTGATTAAAAAGAGGCTTGTTGCTTTATTTTCCTTATTTGCAGCCTTCCTACGCACTTATAAAGTTTTTTTATTTTACGGAAATTGACATTTTAGAGGAATTTTAGTAGCTAAGACATCGAAGATCACTATGCGAAAATTGACTTTTAGCTTCGGATAATATTCATTGCTAAAGGTACCTAAGAACCGAAGTATTGGGAACCGATGCATATGATACAGTCATATGCTTCGGATATTATCCGTTGCTAAAGATTATTTACAACTTCGCTATTTACATAATCGCCGATACGTAAGTTGTTACCATGTGCCAAATGAACGTTGACCCCCGATGCCTAAACCTTTAATAGCATCAGGGAATATATTAGCACTAATGCTAAATACTCATCATAGCATCAAGGGTTTTGATTATATTGAAGCGTGTTCTAACTTACCACTTCAGAAAAGATGCTACTAATGTGGCAAATTATGGTTTGCACCTTCGTTTTTGTGCTTATGCTGAAGTGGAAAGCCTACAAATAGTTTGACTTTCTACAAATATTATTGACCCTTCTGATTATAAGCTTCGATTCCCATGGAGTGCTGATGTTGTTTTTAGTTTTTAATTTTTAACTTCAATTGTTATGGAAAAACTGAGGTTGTTATACACAATAGACATAGTTGTTATCAGTAAAGTGTAAGCAATTTCCATGTTTCACATCACATTTTACTTAGTTTCAGTCTCAAAATATAAAGGCATCACATTTTACTTAATTTCAAGAACACCCAATCACCAACTGCAAATTCAAAATCCTTGGACCAGTTGTTCGCATAACCCTCCTGTAAGTATTGTGTTGTTTTGAATTTTTTGACTGATCACTCTCACTTTTTCAATTATCCTTTAAACAAACTTTAGCTTCTCCAGCTTTCTCTCACCAACCCCACTCTAATACATGAGAGTCCTACACTGCCTCCCGTACAAGGCCTCATTCTTAGGTACACACAAATGAATTCCCATTACCAATGCTCGATCACATCTCATCCCAAAATTCATCAGTGAATCGTTCTTCACTTTTAAACTTATCATGTAAAGCATTGAATCCTTCAGCTGGGACTCAAACACCAGTTCAACAAGCATGGGTTTCATATGAAAAACAGCAAGTAATTTTCATGCTTGATCCCTTTTTTAATTCAACCACAACTTTCCTCAATTCCATCAAAGGTGGCGATAAACCATTCAAAGGCGAGCTAGGGTTCCAATCAACTTCCTACTACAAGCCTCTGCCATGACATCAGCTCGGCCAAGGTGGTACTCAATAGTACAACCATAATACTTGATTAACTCTGGCCAACATATTTGTTACTAAAATCAATTCTCTAGATGTAAAAGTATCTAAGGTTTTGTGATTCGTTAAGATTTGACACGTCTCCCAACACAGGTAGTATCATAAAAATTTGAGGGCAACCGCCACTGTACTAAGCTCCAGGTTATGGGTGGGGTAATTCCACTCATGCTTCCTGAGTTGCCTAAAGGCATAAGTAGTCACCCAATCACATTGTATTTACATGCATTCCAAAGCCTTGCAACAATGCACCATTGTACCTCACAAAGTTTCCTTTGTCATTGAAAATAGTTTAAAACTAGTGCGGTGGTCAACTGCCTTTTGAATCCTTGAAAGTTAGTTCACACTCCTCGGTCCATACAACTTGATTCCCTTTCTTGTCAACTGAGCCAGGTGTGCAGCTATCGTAGAGATATGTTTTACAAACGACGGTAGTAACCTACTAAACCAAGAAAACTCCTTATTTCCATTACACTGGTAGGTTGCACCTAATCTACCAATGCTCCCACTTTTTGAGGATCCACCACTATTCCTTCATTTGATACCACACGCACAAAGGAAATCCATTTCCAACACGTGCTGTTTCTGGATATGATGACAACCCATAACTTACATTGGTCTAATCCAAACGACACGCAACTCAACACTTACTTAGCTACTTTGGTTCTTCAACTTTCCGTGCTGGCCATAGCCAACTTAAACACTTTCCTTGTGATAATGCATTGTCCTTAAACCCAAACCACTTGTTAATCCCAGTAGGTTGAACGGTCATACAACCTAAGAAAATATCTTCCACTGAAAACGATATCGCATCTCATTATGTTTTCTTCAACACTCAACCCAAATGCAATCTCCAACACCTTCCTTTTCTTGAACCATTGTCATTCCAAGACTCATTGGGCTATCAGACTTGAGATATATGCTCTCATACTTTTTTTTTCCTGCTCATTGTAGACATTTCCTCGCAAGGAGTTATAATCCTCCACAACTCTACCGGTGTGCCCACAAGTTGTTTGATCTAATGCCTCAAAGAGGCTTTTTAAAAAAAAATCTTTTTATTTATGCTTAGCAGTTGCACATACAGCGCACATGGCTAAATATTTTTTCTAATTCACTTTCCCAAAACGTTTGGGACCAGGACAAAACAAAAAAAAGAAAGAAGAAGCCTTACCCACAATCTAGAAGAAACGATGATAAGGTGCAAGGTGTTTTTTTCACTCCACAGTTTTGGTCCAAGCATTAAAAAAACTAGGAGTAGTCATGGGGTTGGGCTAGGAGTTTTCAATATGTTTCTTTATTTGTATTTCTTGTGCTATTTGTTTTGCATTAGGTGTTGGTGGTTTTGGATGTAGCTTCTAGCCTTTGCTTATGCTTTTGTATTTCTATTGTTGGTTTCTGAGTTGTGTTGTGTTTCTTTAACGTATTCATTCTGGCCATATGTGGCTATGTTGGGAGTTACATTGTTGATGTCAGTGTACTCTCCCTGGACTAACCTTTGATGGTTACTGTGCCTCCATCTTTATATTAACCCTAAAAATTGGGTATCTGTATCCTAAAAATTGGGTATATTTCTTCAGGTTATGTATTTAGGTGAATAATGATGGGTGATAGAGTTCAAGCTTGTATAGAAATATAAGTAAAATCATGTAATTGCAATTTATTAAAATCATAAGTAAAATCTTAAGTGAATTAAAATCATAAGTAAAATCATGTATGTTCAATCTATTAAAATCATGAGTAAAATCATATAATTACAAATTCGGCTGAAATCTATTACATTAAAATCATGTAATTACAATCTATTAAAATCTCAATTGAATACACCCCCTTGAGAATCATGCATAGGAAGATGAGATTTGTTATGTGATTTGGTATTTATCATACTCAAAAGTCTCATACAATACATTATTTAATGAAATACCTCAAAATCAGTGAGTTTTTGAATACCACGGTACTTTTTCTTATCTTTTAAAAGTCCTAATTGAATACCACCGAACTTTTATTGATTATTTAAAAATCCTAATTGAATACCACCAGAATTTTATTGATTACTTAAAAATCCTAATTGAATACCGCCGTACTTTTAAGCTTCAAAACAATCCATTAAAATCACAATTGAATACACCCCATAAGATTTTGGTGCTTGTGTTTTATGCATGATATTAGTGGTAATCAAAGTCAACTGACTCACATGGTATACGGGGTGAGTATTGCACTTTCTTAGAAATAAATACTTGAAAATTTGTAGGGTCCAAGTCTACGGAGGGACGGCAAGTGATTAGGCCTTTGAACAATGTGAATGAATAAGGTTAATTGGCTGACTCACCAAATTTGATGAGGCTATTTTATGGGATTTGTTGATGTGTAACCCTTGAGTTGAAATCCTTGGAGCCAAAGGTTTTTGTTTGAATTTTATTTCATTTTATATGTTTTAAACTCTGTTTGTAATATGAGCCATTGGATCATAGTCCAAGTGGTCTCTTATCTAGCCTAGGATATAATATGTCAGATTGTGACAAGTGTAATAATCTCATAGGATGACAGGATCAAAGACTAGGATTAAATCCCTGTGTAAATCAATTAGAGAAGAATCTCACTTCTCTTTTCTCATATACGAAAATAGATGAATAGTGCAATAGTATGAATAGTAACTTTCAGCTTTCTTCTCCAGAGCAACGTTCTCTTATTCATATGTTTGTTGTGATCTTTTCCTTTCTCCCAAACATCCAAAACACTGAAAACAATGAATTCTAACATGGCCTCAGAGCCAGGTTCGATTGCTTGAGCTGGGCGTGAATCTGTGAACAGGGAGTCGGAATCGATTTGAGCTGGGTTTGAGCTCCTTCGACGATTGCAGCTTTAATTTCTTGAATCCAATGTCTAATATGGCAAGATCGGGAACAGCTGAGCTTCGCACACCAGTTTTCAACGGAGAAAACTATGAGTTTTGGAGCATTAGGATGAAAACCATTCTGAAATCTCATGGATTGTGGGATCTGGTCGAGAATGGGTTCAATGATTCAGATCTGAAGAAGGAGAAAGAGGAGGCTACGGATACTGAGAAGTCCATGATGGCCCAGATTTTGATGAAGGATGCTCGCGCACTTGGATTGATTCAAAGTGTTGTCTCAGATCAGCTATTCCCCAGAATTGTGAACGAGGAGACCTCAAATGGTGCTTGGCATATTCTTAAGCAGGAGTTCAGAGGCGATAAACAAGTAAGGAATGTTAAGTTGCAAGGGTTGCGTAGAGAATTTGAATATACTCGTATGAAGGATAGTGAATCTTTATCTGTATATCTTGTTAGATTGTTTGATATGTTGAATCAAATGAAGAGTTATGGTGAGGAATTACCTAGAGAGAGAGTTGTGCATAAATTGTTGTTTAGTCTGCCGAAAACATATGATTCCATTTGCTCTGTGATTGAACACTCTAAGGATCTTGAAACTCTGGAAGTTCAAGAGGTGGTTGCCTCTTTGAAGAGCTTTGAGCTCAGGTTGGATCGCCATACTGAGAATTCTACATAAAGGGCTTTTACCAGTCTGAATATTGAGGAAAAGAAGTCTAAGAGTGGGAGTTTTTCTGGAGATCAAAATTCTCTGAAAAATTGGAAGTCTAATGATGGAAACAAAATAGCTTGTAAACACTGTGATAAGCTACATTATGGCAAATGTTGGTTTGAAGGGAAGCCTAATGCCATGGGTGTGGGAAATTTGGGCATATGATCAAAGATTGCAATGGGAATAAAAATGCACATAAGGTGAATTATGCAAATCAAGTTGAGGAAACTGGTACTTTGTTCTATGTGTGCAATGCTGCAACAAATGTGAAAGTGAACCATTCATGGTATATTGACAGTGGTTGTAGTAACCACATGACAGGAGATGAGGGACTTCTAGTCAATATTCAAAGGAACTTGACCTTTAAAGTGAAGATGGGAACTGGAGAAGTAGTTCCAGTTGCAGGAAAAGGAACTCTTGTGATAAAAACCAAGTTGGTTAAGAAGCACATTCAAGAAGTAATGGTTGTACCTGGTCTTGAAGAAAATCTGCTAAGTGTTGGGCAAATGATGGAACATGGGTATTATCTTGTGTTTGGAGGGAATATGGTGAATATTTATGATGATCAGTCACTGAGAAATCTAATTGTGAGGGTTCAAATGACAAATAACAGATGTTTTCCACTTACAATGATGCCTACAAGTGATTTGGCCTTAAAGGCAAATGTTACACACTGTTTGCAGACATGGCATAAGAGATTGGGGTACTTAAACGAAAGAAGTATAAAATTGCTTGAGAATCATGGGATGGTTCATGGCTTACCTCATTTGGAGTAGATTTCAGTAGTATGTGAAGGCTACATGCTAGGAAAGCAACACAGAGATTCTTTCCCTTTGGAGTCCACTTGGAGAGCTACAAGTCCTTTGGAATTGGTTCACACAGATATTTGTGGACTAATAAAGACTGAATCCATTTATGGAAATCGGTATTTCTTGCTATTTATAGATGGTTGTACTAGAATGTCATGGGTGTATTTTGTCAGAAACAAGTCAAGTTCATTTGAATGTTTTAGAAAGTTCAAGGCTATGACAAAGCTACAAAGTGGGTATAAGATAAAAGGCTTGAGGAGTGACAGGGGTGGAGAAACCTCGCCCTTAACGTTATTTAAGGCTATGCCATCCCCTAAGGTGCTGCTAAATGGAAGGATCTTATCAACGTCCATGAATGATAAATCATAGCATAGATTTTTTTTATCAAGTGAATTTAACAAGTTTTGTAATGAATTTAGAATTCAAAGGCAGCTGACTATAGCATACTCTCCTCAGCAAAACGAAGTAGCCGAGAGAAAGAACAGAACAGTGGTGGAAATGGCAAATTCCATGTTGCATGAGAAGGGTATTCCTTATGAATTTTGGGCAGAAGCTGTGACTACTGTAGTCTATTTACTAAATAGATGTCCCACCAAATCTCTCAATAAGGTAACATCATTTGAAGCTTATACTGGCATAAAACCAGGAATTGCACACTAAGATTTTTGGATCTCCTTGTCATGCACTCATCCCTTCAGCATTAAGGCATAAACTGGAAGAAAATAGCCTCAAGTGTATCTTTGTGGGTTATGGACTCTGTGAAAAGGGGTACATGCCATTTGATCCAAGCACTAGAAAGGTTATTCTGTCCAGAGATGTGCAGTTTGATGAAAATGGCTCATGGAAGTGGGAGAATTCAAGTGCAGGAGAGATGACAGTCCCTGTGCCTACTGAAAGTCAAGACTGTAATCCAAGTCAAGACTTGGATACACAAACTCAAATGGATGAAGGAATCACACTGCAAAATGAACCAAGTCAAAGCTTGAATACACAAACTCAAATAGATGAAGGTACTACTCTACAAGATGAAGGAATAAGTGAAAGTTCTCAAGCTATTGATCACACACCAAAGAAATGGAGAAGTGTTAATGAAATCATGGCTCAATGCAATATGTGCATTGTGGAACCTGAAAGTTTTGAAGAAGCTAATCTTGATGAGTCCTGGAGAAATGCAATAAAGGCTGAGCTGGAAATGATTGAGAAAAATAATACATGGACACTAGTGGACAGACCTTTTGGCAATCCAATTATTGGTGTCAAGTGGGTCTACAAAACGAAGCTAAATCTGGATGGATATGTGCAAAAAAATAAGGCCAGACTTGTGGCAAAAGGCTACTCTCAGAAGCCTGGAATAGACTATAATGAGACGTTTGCTCCAGTAGAAAGATTGGATACTATTAGAACCTTGATAGCTCTTGCTGCACAGAAAGAATGGAATCTATATCAACTGGATGTAAAATCTGCCTTTCTGAATGGAGTTTTAAAGGAAAAGGTTTATGTGGAGCAGCCACAGGGTTTTGTGAAGGAAAATGAAGAAATCAGAGTGTATAAGTTGAACAAGGCCTTGTATGGACTAAAGCAAGCCCCAAGAGCCTAGTATGATGAGATAGACTCTTACTTCAACAAGGCAGGATTCAAGAAAAGTCCTAGTGAAGCAACACTCTATGTCAAAACTAGTGAAGATTCAGGTATTCTTATTGTTTCACTCTATGTGGATGATACTGTCTATACTGGAAGTTTTCCAAAGTTACTTGAAGAGTTCAAAAATGATATGATGCAACATTATGAAATGACTGATCTTGGACTACTCTACCATTTTCTTGGCACGGGAGTAGTACAAACAGATAAACATATCTTTCTTCATCAGAAGAAATATGCATTGAAGGTGATTGAAAACTTTGGATTGAAGGATTGCAAGTCTGTGGTAACTCCACTAGTTGCAAATGAAAGGTTGTGTAAGGAAGATGGGAGTGAGGCAGTAAATGAAAGTGAATATAGGCAGATTGTAGGTAGCCTGCTCTATCTTACAGCTGCAAGACCAGACATAATGTTTTCCTCCAGCTTGCTTGCTAGATTCATGCATAATCCTACTAGAAAACACATGGGAACAGCCAAAAGGGTATTGAGATACATTCAGGGCACACTTGACTTTGGAATTGAATTTATAAAAGGGAAGACAGCTACCTTAATAGGGTATTGCGACAGTGATTGCGTAGGAAGTGAAGTTGATAGAAGGAGTACTACCTCAGGATATGCATTCACACTAGGATCTGGTAGGTTCTCATGGGCATCAATTAAACAAAACACAGTAGCCTTGTATACTGCAGATGCAGAATATGTTAGTGCTGCTGAAGCAACATCACAAGCTAAATGGTTAAGGTTTGTATTTGAAGATTTTGGAGAGGAGCAAGTGGAAGGCACAGCAATTCTGTGTGATAACACCTCTGCCATAGCAATGGCAAAGAATTCGGTTTTCCACCAGAAAACTAGATATATTAGCTGAAAGTTTCATTTCATTAGAGAAGCTATTCAAGCAAAGGAGATTGAACTAATCTACTGCAAAACTGAAGATCAGATCGCAGACATTTTAACCAAGGCTTTGTCCAAGGATCGTTTTGTGTATCTTAGAAATCTACTTGGTGTGAAATCAGCCAAAGGGTTAGAAGGGAGTGTTGATGTATAACCCTTGAGCTGAAATCCTTGGAGCCAAAGGTTTTTGTTTGAATTTTATTTCATTTTATATGTTTTAAACTCTGTTTGTAATATGAGCCATTGGATCATAGTCCAAGTGGTCTCTTATCTAGCCTAGGATATAATATGTCAGATTGTGACAAGTGTAATCATCTCATAGGTGATAGGATCAAAGGCTAGGATTAAATCCCTGTGTAAATCAGTTAGAGAAGAATCTCACTTCTCTCTTCTCATATACGAAAATAGATGAATAGTGCAATAGTATGAACAGTAACTCTCAGCTTTCTTCTCCAGAGCAGCGTTCTCTTATTCATCAGTTTGCTGTGATCTTTTCCTTTCTCCCAAACATCCAAAACACTGAAAACAATGAATTCTAACAGGATTCAGTAAAAGATGCAGTGCCAATTTGGTAGTGAATTTACAAACATATATATATATATATATATATATATACATTCTAATTTTTCATCACATACTGTCTTTTTGACGTTGTGGGTGATTCATCCCATACATGATCAGACCTTTTATCTGACTCTGGAGCATAAAAAGAAGCTTAAGGAAGAACATGGTTGGTTCATTAAATACTTTTGAGTAATTCGATTCAAATTATATATCTTATGCTTTTGTACACTCAAATAGGAATTGAACCATGGACGTTTGTCCAAAAACTTGGAGATGCTGTCTTTATTCCTGCTGTTTTTTTTTCTATTCATTTTGTGGACGACTTTTGTGTTAATTAAGGTTTTTTTGAATTCTGTCTCCGTTTCAGTTTTTATACACACACACACACACGTATATTTATGTGTTCTGCTTTGAGTACGATCATTCATTCCTGGATGGTACAGATATAGGCTATTATGATATGCACGCAAGAATTATATTATGTGAGGCATTTTGTTACAAGGGACTTATTCTTCTGCTCCTCTTCAAACAGGTCAAGAAAATGATTGCTCATGCTGTTAACGATGTGATGTATTTGGATCAGAGTGCAAGGTTAGTCGTTTGTTTGTCCACCTAATGCAGTTTTTCAGTTTTGTCATCAGGTTGATGGTGGAAAAGAGACGATAGGCAGTCGAGAGCAGGTACCACTGTGGTGGCCTCCCCCAGGTAGTAAATCGGGGTCCCTAATCTACTAAAATGAGGGTTTACAAGATTAAGGGCTAATTTTACAATGGTTCAGATATGAGGGTGCCATAACGCTGTAAAGATGATCCACAAACATGTAAGTTACACGATTTGTGTAACAACCTGATCCTTAATTAATTTTTAACTATTATTTTATTCAAGGAAAAGACTAGAATACGCCTGGAATATTTTTAGATGATTTTAAAGTTGACTTTTTGACCGAAAAGGAATTTGGGGATTTCAGTTATACCGTTGCGTAGAGCGCAGCGAGATGAGTCTGTAGACATGTAGTAGGCTCAAATCCGAGCTGTAACGAGAGAGATACAACCAAATTACGTAGAAGGGCAAAACAATAATTTTGAAAAATTAGAATTTTAAACCTCAATTTCTCTCTCCTCTCGAGCAGTCTCTCTTCTTTACCACAACACTCTCTCCCGTGCGTCCTCCCCAAGCCAAACCGCGATCACCGCCAGCTGCCACCAACCGACAACCCAAGCCACCGGATCACTCCGCCGCCCCTCCAGCATCCTTCCCCGACTCAAGTCTGGCGCCAGCCACTGCGAAACGAAGGAAGTTGCTGGTTTTGACAAAAATTTCAAGCTCTCGTTCTCCGTCGTCTGGCCACCAAATCGGACTAGTGAGGTATGGTTTTCTAGCTATTTTCCATGCTCTAGCTGCTCGTTGGGTAGGATTTGAGGAATTTCTAGGTTTGGCAGGTTAATTTTCAAGCTAGGGTTTGACCGGTTTTGGGAGCACAGTTCCGACCACTTCCAGCCAGTTTTTGGGGTAAGTCCAAGAACAAAAGTGGCTCCAATTAGGGTGTTACACCTAGGGTAGTTGTCTTGAGCCGTGATTTGGAGATTTTTCGCCGAAGCGTTATTGCTTTAGGCACCACGCGCTGCCGGCGCGTGTGGCGGCGTGTGGGCATCAGGGTGGGGACCACAATCAGTCCTAGAATAATCTCTTAGTCCTCACGAGCATGTAGGATTTCGCGGATCTTAATTCAGATAACGTTTGAACCCCGAACGGATCTCACCTAGTGTGCGATTTCCGAATTCAGCATGTTTGAGCCGTTGGATCGTAGTCATGTTCAGGTATGTTGACTTAGGTAATTTCAGAATCCTATAATAGTTGACGGATCGTAAAACGGAGTTCCAGATATTTTAGAAACATCAACCATAGAGCTAGGTTTACAGTAAACAAGTACGGACCGATATGAGTTATCTAAATCCTGTTATGGGATGAGCAGATAGTTAGTTATAGGTTGCGGCCCGGATAGAAGCAGTATCTTCGAGGCGTGCCAGTTTGTAGATCAGGAACAAAGGAAAGAACTACGTGTGACTTGATCCCTCAGTAAGGGTACGTAGGCAGCCTACAGTTTTAAGGTGTAGCCACGAGTTAGAGCCTTTAAGTTGTGTTATTGATTCTAAGGAATTTTGGTCATTTGTGACCCACACCCACCAAGTGTCAGTTATAAACAGGATTCGGCCTGGATTACAAAGTGGAATTTGGGTTAGGTCCTTTCAATTTGGGTAGGAATTTACAGGTTTTTGCGCTACGATTACAATATTAGGGTTCTCATAATCCTTAGTGTTATAAATCCTTATTTTATAAGGATATGGATCCACATTACAAATAATTGGTAAGTCCTGACCATGAGGATGTAAATTAGGGTCCTTATTCTAGTAAAATGAGGGTTTACAAGATTAACCCAATTTTACAATTTTCTAAATACGAGGGCATCATAACACTACAAAGAAGATCCATAAACATGTCAATTACAAGATTTGGGTCACGAGTTACAAATTTATGGACCGGGATTACATAGTTAGGGATCATCCAATCCATAACGTTGTAAATCCTCATTTTACAAGGAAATGGATCCACATTATAAGGAATTGGTAAGTGTTGACCTTGAGGTAGTAAATCAGGGTCCCTAATCTAGTAAAATAAAGGTTTACAAGATTAAGGGCCAATTTTACAATGGTTGGGATATGAGGGTGCCATAATGTTGTAAAGATGATCCATAAACATGTAAGTTACACGATTTGGATAGTGATTTACAGGTTTTTGCACCACGAACATTAGGGTTCTCATAATCCTTAATGTTGTAAATTCTTATTTTATAAGGATATGGATCCACATTACAAAGAATTGGTAAGTCCGGACCATGATGATGTAAATTGGGGTCATTATTCTAGTATAATAGTGGTTTACAAGATTAAGGGCCGATTTTACAATTTTCTAGATACGAGGGTACCATAACACTGCAAAGAGGATCCATAAAGATGTACAGTACAAGATTTGGGTCGCGAGTTACAAATTTATGGACCGGGATTACATAGTTAGGGATCATCCAATCCATAATTTTGTAAATCCTCATTTTACAAGGATATGGATCCACATTACAAGGAATTGGTAAGGGGAATTGGTAAGTGTTGACCTTGAGGTAGTAAATCGGGGTCCTTAATCTAGTAAAATGAGGGTTTACAAGATTAAGGGCCAATTTTACAATGGTTGGGATATGAGGGTACCATAACGTTGTAAAGATAATCCATAAACATGTAAATTACACGATTTGGATAATGATTTACCAATTTTTGCAGCACGATTACAACATTAGGGTTCTCATAATCCTTAATGTTGTAAATCCTTATTTTACAAGGATATTGATCCACATTATAAAGAATTGGTAAGTCCGGACCATGAGGATGTAAATTGGGGTCCTTATTCTAATAAAATGAAGGCTTACACGATTAAGGGCCGATTTTACAATTTTCTAGATACAAGGGCACCATAACATTGCAAAGAGGATCCATAAACATGTACATCACAAGATTTGGGTCTTAAGTTACAAATTTATGGACTGGAATTATAAAGTTAGGGATCATCCAATCCATAATATTGTAAATCCTCATTTTACAAGGATATAAATCCACATTACAATGAATTGGTAAGTGTTAACCATGAAGATGTAAATTGAGGTCCTTTTTCTAGTAAAAATGAGGGGTTAAAAAATTAAGGGCCGATTTTACAATGTTTTGGATATAAGGGTACCATAAAGTTATAAGGAGGATCCATAAACATGTAAGTTACACGATTTGGATAGCGAATTACAGGTTTTTGCACCAAGGTTATCACATTAGGGTTCGCATAATCCATAATGTTGTAAATCCTTATTTTACAACTATATGGATCCACATTACAAGAAATTGATATGTGTGCACCTTGGGGATGTAAAATGAAGTCATTATTCTAGTAAACACGAGGATGGTTATGGACAGTTATGTATCACCTATGTATCACCACTTTATCACTTATTTGGGAAACATAGGATAGTTATGGACGGTTTCATCCTTACATTTGACGACAACATTAACATAATGTAACGGTAGGATCAATGGAGCAATTAATATAGAGTTGATGGACCATTTGAACGAATAATTTAATTAAGGGACTAAAATGTAAATCGGATATACGTTTGAGGACCATTTGAGAAATTTACCCAATAGAAAAAAAACTGAACTACATTCCACTACAGAAAAAAGGATTGGGACTTTCCCACATCACCCTCATCTTCAATTTAGTCCACGCCTTACGTCACCAAATTCATACAAAATTCCTTTATTTTGCTACAGCACAGCCACGCCATGTTGGCAATTGACAAACATGCACTATGTACTTGCCATTCTGTTCTTTCCTTAAATTTAAAAAAAAAAGAAAAAGAATATGTAAGTGCCATTCTAATTTGCAGAAGCCGATTGTTTAAATCGTAATTGCCAAGCGACCATTGTCATTTAATTTTTCTTCTCTTCCATGATTTAAGTACCTAAAAGTAAAAACAATAGAATTTAGCATATCAATTCACTTTTACTTTCATTGCAAGTGTTAATAACTTAGTGACAAGTAAATAACAAACATTGTTGGACACAAGGTAATTGAAGTGCAATTGGATTTACAAAAATCCAATTGACAAATAGGAAGCAGGTAATTGAATATTTGAAATCTAATTGCATTAGTGGAATTCACAAAAACAAGTTGAGAAAACAAAACATACTCTTAACAATCAATCAAATGGACAAGGATTTACTTAGCACACAGCTAGATTAATGAAAAATAAAACAAAATAATGCATATTGTGAAAACTTAAAACACAGTTGGATTTACAAATATCCAATTAGTAGACATGAAGTAGATAATTGAATATGTGACATTTTATTGCATCAATGGAATGCACTGCATGTGGAACAAAATAACAAATACATGTAATTGTATCAAAGACAATTGCCAAACAGGATTTAGGTAATTGCATCACTAAAATCTAATTGCATTGGCTGACTGCACCAAAACATGCTTCCAAGCACAAAAAAAAAAATGTCAATAATCAATCAAATGAGCTGATAATAATCACCATATCACCATCTAATATAGCTATTGTACCTTGTGGGATAGATGTGACAACAACATGCATCGCAAAATCTGATGGGTTGCGCTTTTTGGGTCAGTATGCCCTCACATCAAACAATTAGTGATCTACATGGGTATGCATCCCTTCACGTTGAACAAGGGCTGCGAAGTTGTCGCTATGTCTTCATTGTGTCTTATGGCCACTATATCTCGCGGCTACTCAAAGAGAAACAACGGCGTCAGAAAAGGTCCTCCAACCCATTTAAAGATATAAATTTCGAAAATAAAACTCATTTCTAGTTAATTGACTAATACTGACAATGATAAACTGAGAGAAGAGTTGGTTCCAAAAACACAATCCAAAACTACTCAGATATTCAACCCAAAGAAGATAATTAAAACCCATTTATCACAGGTCAAACCCAAAAGACAAATATTGGCTGCTTATTCATGAAATTATAAACCAAATTAGAAATTCGAACAGCCGAAAATTTCAAACATAACATCATTTTAAACAGTAGTGTATCTCCTCATCAACATATGTATGTGTTGTGTACAAAAGTTCTCAATTTCTCATAATTTCTCTGGGCATATATGAAGCAAATCCTACAAAATTTTCACCCAATAACAAGGATTTTTCTTTTTCGATAACATAATTCAATTCTCACCATGTCACACAATTCAATAAAGTGCGTCAAGGGTTTTTTTCTCAAAAATGAGTGCTTTCGATGTGACTGTGAAAAAGAATATTAAAGTCCAAAGTGGTAAAAAGAAGATGAATAAAAAAAAAAAAAAAAAAAAAAAAAAAAAAAAAAAAAAAAAAACTCACAGAATCCATATGCACCAACACATCAAGCATAACAAGGGGAGTAAGTTTATACCTTGGCTCAAAGTCCAATTCGATCGGGAAGTGGCCAGATTTTAACAAATAAAACCATGCAAAGAATACACACCAAGAACGAGATACAGCAGAGCATGCGGACCTTACCATTATAGGTCTGGAAAATATCGAATAAAAATTTGTTTCAATCTCCATCACCCACCCAAAAAAACTCAGTTCTAACATAAATAGGCACTAGATCTAACATTAAAACCTTCAATGACCCATAAATTGCAGCCATATATGACAGAAAAACTGATGAAATTGAAAAAATCTTACCTTTTCTAATGAATTTCAGTTTTGGAAAGGGATTTAGTTGTCTAGGGTTAGGGTTTTACGTTGGGGATTTGGGGGTTTTGGTATGAGAAAAGAAGAATGAACCTATAGACGTAGCGCTTGACAAGAGAGAGAGAGAGAGAGGAGAGAGAGAGAGAGAGAGAGAGAGAGAGAGAGAGAGAGAGAGGTTTTGAGAGGGCTAGCCAAGAAGAAGAGGCAAAAGAAGGAAATTTTTAGAGCGCTAGCTAGCGAAGGAGAGAGCGAGAGAGGGGGTAAAGAGCAGGTGAACCTCGCCATCATCATCGTCATCAATGGTTGCCTGTTGTTGGATGCTAGAAGAAGATAAAGGAAGTGAACGAAGGGGCTCAGTTTTTTACAGGTTGGGGATTTTCCTTCAACCTGCTGAGAAGGTTTTCAAGTTATCTCATTCAATGGTGTACATCTGTCCTTGTTATTTTGCCGAAATCTAACGGTCACAATATCTATTGGTGCATGGATGAGCCACGTGCACCGTCGAATTTTCGTTAGAATGTCTGGTTCCTCTCTCCTATTGATTTTTCTTGTTTTTTTTTGTCTCTTCCACTTTTGAAACTTCTATCAGGGAACTGTGCACAAATACCACCTAAACTATTAGAATGTCTAGTGAGCCTGCCTATGAATATTTGGACAAATCATGCATCCATAGAGGTGCAGCAAGCGTCATGTATGATGCAGAAGCCATTGCAACTGTTGGTTGTCATTTGAACAAGCCATTCAGAAAATACCATATTTAATTATAGGGTAAATTTCTCATTTTCAATTAATGAAACCCAGTCAAACACAAAATGATTAAACTAAACAAACCCAGCAGCTTAGATTCAAAGATTCACAACACATGAACCATGAAAGCAGTCCTACCCCCTCTCTATTAGAATCTCAAAACAATGCCGAATACCCAAATATGTGTTTGTTTCATATGGAGTTGGAACTCGAATTCATAGCCGACTCGCGTTGAGATCCGGTGGAGGATTAAGGGGGTTTATTGAATTGAGATTTTAAAAGACTATTTATGGGTAAAGAAGTTCAGTGGATTTTAAAAGACTATTTAGGAATGTAATGACTTATAAGATTTTTTTATAAGATTTTTATAATCAAGATTTTCAACGTTTGGATTTTAAAAGATTTATATCATAAGAATTTATAAGATTTGAAAGGACCACATGGATTTTTTACTTTTATGATGCTAACCAACCAACTTTTTAGTCGGATGATGAGCAATGGCGGTCTAGTTCAATGATGGATGAATTCTCTAGGAATAGGCTCTACAAATTCCTAAGCTTTCCAAATTATGGTGGAATTTTTCCTTCCAAAAGGTTGTATGATAGGTATAAGGTTACTTGGCTGCGGACACTTGGTTCAAGCTATTGTTTTGAAAGTCAATTGGTTGAATGGAATGGAACCATAAATAAAAAGCCAATGAAAGTCATTTGGTTCAAGCTATGGACACTTGCATCAACAGTAATAGAAACGGGATCAGATGGAATGGAACAATAAATAAAAGCAAATATTCTAAGTTACGAGAGTCAATGAAAAAGATAACAAAGAAATGATAATTTTAATAAAGAAAAGTAAAAGCCAATACAATTTTCCCAATTTTTTCATTGTCAATTTGATGTAGCTTCATGTCTTCCTAAGTAGCATTTCTCCACATATCTAAAGATATGCTAGCCCTCCACGCATTAGCATCTTCTCGTTGCTGATCTTAGGTTTGATAAATAGGTTCAAAATTATCTTTTTCATTAACTGGTAACACAGAAGATGAAGATTCATTTATTCGATCAATTGGAAATTCATCAAAATGACACTCTTTGCGAAGAAAGTTATATAGTGCTATGAGCATGCCAATACAAGCTCTGCTTATGCCTTAAATGGAAATGTATTGGTTGATAGTCACAATTCTTTTTTTTTGGGGGGGGGGAGGGATGGGTGTGTTGCGAAATTTTGGGCTAGGCAGTGATGCGAAGGGTGGGTTGGGTGGGGTTGTTGCAAGTCAAAGAAGGGGAAGGGGCCTGAGGTAGATTTCGACATGGAGATGGTGGATTATGGCTTGGGAGCAGGAGATGCCTAGTGTTGAGAGAGAGTGTTTTTTTTTGTTTCTTTTTTTTTTTTTTTTTTTTTTTTTTGTTCATGTGTGACCATTGATTGCCACATCATCATTTAACAGGGCATTTGAGGGACTGACTCACGGATATATAGAAATGATAGGAAAGTCAAACTTTTTGTATGAAGTTGATATGAAAACTTGATGTAGTAAACTTTGAATTATGCGAAACTTCTGGGTAGTAAAGTGAAATTTACCCTTAATTATAATAAGAAGTTGCCTCTGTTGGAAATAGCCACGGTGGTTTGTTTCAAGAATTTTATATAAGGGGACTTCACTATTATACCCAAAATAAGGGCTGAAATTATATTAAAAAACCCCCCCACATGGAATGCACTTTAGGAACACACCTAAAATCCATTTACTACATTAGAAATTGGTGTTGAAGTTCCTATAAATTACGTGTCTGCCACTAATTAACTTAAAAGAAGCCCAACACAAAAAAACTCAAAAAGAGCCCAAAACAAACCCTGTAACACCCCGACTCCAAATTTATCCCCTGTTTTAATTAATTTGAGCGAAATTAAGAATTTACCCATGGGATAGGGGTATTTTAGTCATTTTCTTACCCGGAAGGAATTTGGGAATTCCAGCTATATTGTTACGTAGAGCACGACGAGTTGAGTCCGTAGACACGTAGTGGGCTCGAATCGGAGTTGTAACGAGAGAGTTACGATCGAATGAAACTCAGTGGCACGATCGTAATTATTTGGAAAATGGATTTTTGATAAAAAGTCAAAAATGCCTCTCTCTCTCTCTCTCTCTCTCTCTCTCTCTCTCTCTCTCTCTCTCTCTCTCTCTCTCTCGTCTTTCTCTCCTCTGGTTCGCGACGGCTGAAACAGCCGGCCACGTTTTGGCCGGCCGTTCGCTCATCCGGCCACCAAAGTTGACGGGGCCGGTGCCAAAATGACAGGGCCGCCGTCCTCTTCCTACCCCAGCCAGGTCCCGCCGCCAGCCGCCGTGATTTCTCCGGAAAACGAGGAGAAAAGCTCCGGTTTTGACAGAAACTTCGCCGGCTTCGTTCTCCGTCGTCCGGCCACCGATTCCGACAAGTGAGGTATGGTTTCTCACCTATTTTCCGAGCTCTAGCTGCCTGTTGGGTAAGAATTGATCAATGTGTAGCGTAGGCAACTCGATTTACGAATTGGATTTCGGTCGGATTTCGAGGGGAGATTCCGGCCACTTCCGGTCAGTTTTTGGGGTATGCCCAAGAACAAAAGTGACTCCAAATCGGGTGTTTTACCTAGGGTAGGAGTCTTGAGCCGAGATTTGGAGATTTTCCGGCGAAGGGTAATCGCTTTGGACACCCACGCGCTGCCGGCGCGTGTGGCGACTCGTGGGCACTGTAGTTGAGGGGCATTTTTGTCCCACTGCGATCCTCTCAATGTCATGAGCGCGTAGGTGTGCTCGGATATCATTTTGGCTACCGTTAGAGTCCCGAACGGATATTGCATATCGCGTATTTTCCGAGTTTGCTAGGTTTGGACCGTTGGATGGTCCTGAGGTTATAATATGTTGATCTAGGTATTACCAGGATCGTATAGGATTCGACGGATCGTAAAACGGAGTCCCGAATACTCCAAAAATGCCAACCCTAGGGTTAGGGTTTTAGTAACTATCCAATCGTGCGATCGGGAGCGATCCGACCGTCCGATCTGGACCAAACTTGAAGGACGAGTGTCCTAAACCATGTAGCATTCATAGAAATCGTCAGATTGGAATTTGGAGGTCGTTGGCCCCACGGGCCCACTGACCAAGGTTGGGTAGTTTGACCTTGGGTTGATCGCGAGACTTCCTAGGTAGCATTACCTTCCTAGGAAGATTGAAATGACCGTAGAGACAGGTCTTGATCGTTAGTTAGTATGTGAATAAGGTCGTTCAGGTTATTAATTGATGAGTTTAAATGGTAGAGCCTATGGGATGCTATATTGGTTGAGGTTTATATAAGTTGAGAAAATATATAATATATTTGATTGTGGATGTATAAAGGTATACAAAGGGATCGAATGTTAGTTTACAGTGCTATACGCACTACCCCCACGTACCTTCCATATTGTGATTGTGTTGAGGTCGCACGTGTCGTAGGAGTAGCCGGCGTGTTGACAGACCCCATACGAGGCCGGGTGCGTCCCATCATATGAGGGGTGATATTGTGATTGTTGTGAGGTCGCACGTGTCGTAGGAGTAGCCGGCGTGTTGACAGACCCCATACGTGGCCGGGTGCGTCCCGACGTATGAGAGGAGATATGATTGTGTGCGGGCTGGTAAAAATGCAGCCAAGCCCAAAGTTGAGGTCGCACGTGTCGTAGGAGTAGTTGGCGTGTTGACAGACTGCATACGAGGCCGGGTGCGTCCCGTCGTATGTGGAGTGATTGTGATTGTGATTGTGTTGCGAGGTCGCACGTGTCGTAGGAGTAGCCGGCGTGTTGACAGACCCCATACGTGGCCGGGTGCGTCCCGACGTATGAGGGGAGATATGATTGTGTGCGGGTCGGTGAGAATGTAGCCAGGCCCAAAGTTGAGGTCACACGTGTCGTAGGAGTAGCTGGCGTGTTGACAGACCCCATACGAGGCCAGGTGCGTCCCGTCGTATGAGGGGAGATTGTGTTGAGGTCGTACGTGTCGTAGGAGTAGCCAGCGTGTTGACAGACCCCATACGTGGCCGGGTGCGTCCCGTCGTATGGGGAGTTATTGTGATACTTGTGAGATCGCACGTGTCGTTGAAGTAGCCGGCGTGTTGACAGACCCCATACGTGGCCGGGTGCGTCCCGACGTATGAGGGGAGATATGATTGTGTGCAGACTGGTGAGAATGTAGTCAGACCCATAACGGACAGTTAGATGGTTGGTGAGAATGTAGCTAGGCCCATAGCGGACAGTTAGATGGCTGGTGAGAATGTAGCCAGGCCCAAAGCAGATTGTGAGACATGATGATGAGGTCCCACATATCGTAGGATTATTTCCGGCGTGCAGACAGGCCCCATACGCGACTTTGGATGTTCCGACGTATGGGGAGATTATGTGAGTTTTTAGGAGATAAATTAAGGTTTGTGATTGGTGACTTGTGATCCCTTAGTAAAGGGTGTTAGTGAAAGAGCTACGTGTGGCTTGATCCCTCAGTAGGGTGCGTAGGCAGCCTGGGATAGCGCCTAGGTGCAGCCACCGCCTAGACACCACTTAGGTGGTTTTATCGAGTATGATGCGGACCTTGTGGTTGGTCCCGAGACTTGGTTTAATTGAGGCTCATTTGGTGCGCTAAGTGAGTATGATTGTGGTTCGGTTAGGTTTGAGATTCTGGTCGGATTGTTGCACGGTTTAGGCCGGAGGCCGATTATTTTGGAATTGCATGAGATTATATTGTGCATGCTGCCCGTTGGGATATTAAAATGTGTTTCATGTTCAATTTACAGGGGAGATTCTGCCGAAATTTCGGCAGAAAGTCTCGTGCCCCTACTCCTTTTTGAAAAAGGAGGTTACAGTCTAGTGAGTGGGCTCGACATTGGGGTGATGTCGGGGTTTCCACAGGATTCGTCTCGGGTTTCAGAAAATTCGGGGTGGGTTCTGTCAAACCCAGTCTATATTTTATAAAAAAAGCCCAAACAATTTATTAAAAACAAAGCGTCGCAAAAACCATAGCTACCTCTTCATTACCTATCCTCTAACACTACAGAGGATCTTTGCAAAACCAAAAACTCCATAACCACCAAGCTTCATCTTTTTACTGTCATGTTGAGTAATGGTTGTCATGTTTCAGTCTAGTGTAATAACACTACTAGTTTACTATGTTACTATTTCTAATGCATGTCTACCAAAGAAAGGATGAAGAAAGAAAAACACAGACCAACATCCAAACCAAAAAAGAAACCTTCATCATCCAAAAAGAAAACCAACCAAAAGCCAAAAAGATAGGATGACCCGAAATATGTGCAGATTAAGAGCAACATGCTTACTTTTGCAACAACAATCGATAACATTAGGGAGAAACTTCAATAACGAAAAAATGTCTTAACACTACTATTGAAAACACCTTTTTGGACACTTATCGAAGCATATATTAGGAAAATATTAACAAAGATAGAGTGCATGAAGTCTAATTATGACGTCGTAAGATTCATACAAGACTATGACACAAAAAAGAGGAAATTCAAGTTTCATAATGGTGACAGTGAGATGAAAAGCCAAGATGTGGTTGAAATTTTTAGCTTGCCAAAGAGAGGTAAGAAGCTACCAACCACAACAAACTCATTAAGACTGGAGTTGGATTTTGTGAAGAAATACTCAAAGGTTATCAGAAGATAACAAAGACTTCAATTGATAAGTGCTTGAACTTAGCATTTGAAGATGAAACAAAAGATGGTCCTATGGATGTAACAAGATTGATAATCCTACAACTCTTTATGACCAATCTCTTCTGCAACTCTGATTGTACATCGTTTGGACTTACACAACTACAATAGACACCTTAAAAGAGATGGATAAATATAATTGGGCTCAAGGAGTTTTGGACTACATGTATTTTGAATTAGAACAGGCAAAGAAGAACAAGAAGGACCCAAAAAAAAAGAAGCAACCAAACATAAGTGGCTGCCTAATCCTAATACTGGTAAGAAAACAAATCTTCAAACTGCAAATTCGTAGCATTATTATTAGTAGAATCTGTCTTCTAATGATACGAATTCACATGTGATATTGCAAAAAATATATATATATATTATGCAGTATTGGATATGTCACATATCTAACCTGCGCACTCCAATTCTTGGAAGAGAAAAAATGACACCAGGCCTATCAAATAGAGTCTTCAAAAACTGAATGTGAAGCTTCATCATCTAAAGAACAACCAGATAAAGGTACTCTTTGCTTTCATATAATCTACAGCTGATATGACTACATTCTTAATACCATGTCATAGAAGTACATTCCTAATACCATGTCATAGAAGTATATTCTTAACACTAACTCTTCTTCACAAACAGATAAATAGTACTAAAGATCAAGAGAATGATGAAGATGAAAATGAAGAGGATGATGATGCTGCTGATGCTGAAGAAGAAAATGAAGAGGATAATGCCTTCATTATTACCCTTAAAAATTGGGTAAGTTAACCTATAATGATCCAATATTTATATTTGAAAACTAAATTGAGGGTGTACAAACACACACACACAAAGGAAGCTGTTATTGCCATGTTGAAAGATGAAAAATCAACACAGGAATTGTAGAGTGAAGAGGATCAAGGAGAAAAGCAAGAACGTGAAGCACAAGAAAAAAAATCAAGAAACTTGAGTCCAAGGACCAACAAAATCAAATAGACAACTGATCAGAAGATCACAACCAAACCAGATTCCTCATACCCTAAAGCAGAGACGAGAGGACAAAAGAGAAAGACAAAAAACAAAAAGGTGATGAACTAGCCAAAACAAAGAAGAGGGCCAAAAGTTCATTCCTGCAATGAAATACATCTACAACATGCTGGACGAAATCTCAAAAGAAAAGCTGAAAAATTACTAGAAAGATTCAGTTGATGTGTAAGGCAATGTATTTCATTCATTTTCAATGGAAGACACTATTATTGAACAGTTCTTTCACTTTTAATTATTAACATGTTTTTCTAACTACAAATACTGTTGTAGGACTGCTTTTTGGCAAGGGGAAAACATATTGTTCAAATATGACATACAAAGGTTACTAATAGATACTAAATTTTTTGGAGAAATCATAGATGCATATGTGAAGATACTTCATCATGATGAAAAGAAAAACCCTAAAAGTGAACGAAATGCATACTTCACTTGCTACACCTACATAAGATCGTAGCTATCTCCTTCTAGTAAATATAAAAAATTATTCATCTTCCTATACTTTTCACATTCTTTCTAGTGCCGAAACTATTAATCTTCCAGGGGTATCTCATAGGAAAAAAGCCCATAAAAACATTCGATGAATATTTTGTAAAACTCCTAGAATGCATTGGAAAAACTTCAAAGGTATTCATACTAATAACGGATGACGGCCACCACATGCTGCTTGTCTATGATACCCATGCATTGCAATGGATGCACTACAATTCATTGAGGGGAAAAACTAAGCCAACCATTGAAAAGACAGACTCCTACTATAAGCTGTTAATACAAAGCATTAACAAAACAACTTCAAACTGTTAACAATATACTTGCCTACAAAGCAGGCAGACACATCAAATTTCTTCCTCAATAGTGTCCAGGAATGTGCTCCAACAAATTTAGAAACAAACAGCTTCAAACTTCTTGAGTTCAAGAAGTCAATCTACAATGCAAGAATTCACCAAAGAGATTGCAAAACTTTTTCTGAACCTAAAAGTTACACTAGTAATTGGTCAAACAACACAATATCTGTTGAAACATGATCCCACCAAATTCAACTTTAAGGAGGACAGAGAATAATCCCAACAACTCGAAAATTCGTAAGTGTCACAATATCACTTTTCTTCCCCCGATTCAATTTAAACTATGATTCACTAAATATTGCATATATGTGTGTGACTTTGCAGAAAATATTGTGGTGTATTTGTTGTATACCACATGCAACATTTATCACAAGCAAAAAAAATTGAAGAAAGCTTGAGTAGAGAACATGTGTGGGAAATGAGAAAAGAGTTTTATTGAAGACAATGGAAAGTGAAAAAAGTTGGTATTTCACAGAAGGTAAAAAAAGATGAAAAACATGGATTTCCCGGAGTTTAGAACTTAATAGTTAATTTCTGGCGTATAACTTTCAAATGTCAAATTGTTAATGTGTAGCTTCTAAACAAAATGTTTTGCTACTTCTTAACTTTCAAATATCAAATTGTTAAAATGTAGCTTCTAAACAAAATGACAAAATGTTTTGCTACTTCTTAACTTTCAAATGTCAAATTGTTAAAGTAGTGTAGCTTCTAACAAAATGTTTTGCTGCTTCTTAACTTTCAACTGTAAAAAATAGTTACTATGTAGCTTAAAACTTTAAAACTTCTTAACAATGGGTTTCAAAAGGTGCATTAATAGTGACTTTCAAAAAGCTCAGCCCAACTTGAGCAAAACAAGGTTAGAAACAAAATAAAGCCCAAAAAACTCAAACAAGCCATCACAAAATACAAAATACAAAAACAAAAACAAAACAAAAACAAAACAAAACAAAAAAACCCAGTTCAATTTGATGAAGAAAAAAAAAACTCTAGAAAACTCAAACAAGCCAATGCTAAAAGAAATTAAAAAAATACTCAAAAAAAGCACAGTCTAATTTGACCAAGACTACCCCAATTTGACGAAAAAAAGGCCTTAAAAACTCAACAAGCCCTGCTAGAAAAAAATAAAACCAAATTAGAAAATAGCCAAAAAATCCAGTCCAGTTGCCCAAGCCCAAACCAAAAAAAAAAAAAAAAAAAAAAAAACAAAAAAAAAAAAAAAGTAACAAACAAAACCAAACGTTGTATATAGGTGCACGACCCAAATAAGGTAAAACCAACTCACCTCTCTCCCCTGATCTAGAAGACACCAATTTGAAAAGCAGGCGACAACCTCCATAACCACCAATCAGGCGATAAATTCCATAACCACCAAGCCGGCAACTCGAAGTTCTAATCTACCATAGCCACAAGTCTTCAAAATCGACACTACAAAAACCCTAAAAAAGCAACTTAGCACAAAAAGGACAACCCGGGAAAAAAAGGAAGAAAATTTCATCCGTAAAGATTGACAAAAGGTAAAATCTCAAAAACCCACACTCACTTTCCAATTTCTTCTTAAGATTTGGCTAACTAATGCAAGAGTTCCACGTTTCATACAGGTAACTGACGAAAAGATCCAAAAATGATAGGATCAAAGACCCAATCTGCTGTTGAATCAGGCCTTCGTTGACAGAACCCACCCCAAATTCCTCGAAATCCGTGACGAATACTATGGTATTTCCGACATCAAGCTTATGCTGTCCCCACTTACTAAAGAGAGACGAGACTTTCTGCCGAAATTTCGGCAAAGTCTCCCCTGAAAAATGGACTTTCTCAAAAGTTTTCAACATGTTAAAACACATTTATATACACCAACCTACAGCATGCACAATGTAAATTCATACAGTTTACATAATATGCCTCCAGCCTTACATTCAAACCTAACATGGGCGATAACAAAGCATATCTACAAAATTCAGTTACAAATGAAAATGAAGTTCAACGGAATAGAAATAAGATTTTGTCCTACACAAGCTCAGGCTTGGAAGTTCATGACTTGGTATGGCCGCTCGGTGCAAGACTATCTACTGCTTGGGGGGCGCAACAGAAAATTGTGAGTGGACAAAAACAAAGTTGGTTGTCTTTAAAAACAACATATAATAACCCCACCGCTTGGAAAACGATGTAGAAATCATGCATTCAAAACCAATATAGATATATACATAGCTAAGTCAAAACCAAAGTGAAATCCATAACTCATAAAGATATACCAATACCCATTCCATTCAAAACCTTTCCCATTTTCCCCAAACTACTCTCTTGAAACGCATGCCCATTGGCACGGCGAGCGAAGAAGTATCCTCACTGATAAACAAGAATGAATGTGTATATATATATATATATATAAGTATGACCACAACCGAACTTGTACCGAGGAAACAATCCAATCGGGGGATTGTTTGACTAGTCCACATGGAAGAATCCTCAATTGACCATGTGGCTAAGAAACGAGCAGCCCAACCGGGGAACTGGGCTCACTAGCATGTACAGCAGAATCCTCAATACTTGTACACTTGTGACAAGTCCTACGCGCACAGCCAAGGGTCTACAAAACACCCCGTCAAGGGTGCCTGGGTTCCAACATATCCAAGTATCCCATAGTTCCAAATTTCCAGTCCAAGTATTCCAAATTCGGGGAGGCACGTAGGGTAGTGCTAATAGCACTCAAAACTGACTTAAACCATAACCCATCCACATTTCATAAACTCTTTCCAAGTCTAAATAATCATTCTCAAAAATAGCACATATCCATTCAAAATATTCACAATCCGCAATTATTCGAACATAATTCCAATACTTTCATAACAATATTATATTCAACATTTGTAAATAATTAATAACTCAATAATCCAAGAAATCATTATGCATATTTTTCCATCCTTGAAAATAATGATTATAGTTTAAAAACAAAGTCCACTCACAAATAGTCTCACGCTGCTTGACCCTGAGCGGGTCTTGCCTGCTGCGTATGCTGCGTCAGAGTATATATTTAAGAACATGAGGGCTAGATTAAAATAAAATATTTCAAACGAGTCTTTAAAATAAATTCCTAGTTTTTGCTTGGATTCAAAGTGTGTGAACAACAAACAAGAAGTTCCTAAGGTCCAACTAAGCGTTCTAAATGGTTGAATAACCTCGGAAGACCTCGATCAACCGAGTGGTCAAACTTTTCGAATTTGGTCAACTGGGCCAACTGGGCCCCACGACCTCCGATTTCTTATACGAAAGTTCCTATAGGTTCAACAAGGTTTATTAAAGACATCCTGGAAGCTTGGTCCATATCAAGCTGTCCTATTGCTCACGATCGCATGATCAAACGGTCACCGTTTTACATAAACTTTAAGTCCGATTCACAATCCGCGAATTCCTACATGATCCTAGAGGTGCCTAGATCAACATATTTGGAAATGGAGTCGATCCAACAGTCCGGACATATCAAACCCAGATTACGCCTAATATTCATAAATCCGATCGACAGTCAAACGATAACCAAATTCAAATCCGAGCATACCTTCATGCTCAGGATGACATAGGGATTATTCTAGCTTAAAAACCCAACCTTGACAACCTGCTGACGCGCCGCCACACTCTACCACTGCCGGCGGTTTTCTAGAGGAATTTTTCGGCAATCGAAAAACTCCAAATTGCCGGCCAATAATCATACCATCAGATCAAGCACATCAAAGGGAGTAACTTTAAACCTTTGCTCGAAGATCAATTCAACTATAAGAGCCTCGAACGAACGCTTTTCTTTTCGAAAAACCTAGAAATGTCTAGGTTTGGATTCGATGATTTTGGGATGGAATCATATCGGGTCTTCGAGGGAAATTACAGAGGGGAGGTAGGGGAGTGTTTTGGAACCCACTTGGTGGCTGGGGTGGCCGGAGTTAGCAGGAAACACCATTGAAAAGTCACTGTTAAAAAGTAAGCAAAATAACCCTACCACTGAGGGCAAAATTGTAATTTCATAATTAAATCAATCAATTAATTTAAACGAATAATTAAAATTGGGAAGGAGAAGCAAGTGCTAAGGGAGTACTCTATTGTTCTGTATTTTGTGTTGATGTTTTTGGCAGCTCTAAAAATGGGTGAAGATGATTTACTGATGTTGAATTGAGATTATATGAGCTTGGCATGAGGGCTTAGAGTGTGGGAGTTAAAGACCAACAAGTTTAGTAAATGAGAATGCTTGTGCTTGGCTTGGTGTTTGATATGCTTGAGTTTGGGTGTTGAGAATTTGTTGTTCGAAGCTATGGCTATGGTGATTTAAGAGTTTCAAGAGAAGGAGTATGGAAGGAAAAGTTTGATGCTTGAAGACTATGGTGTTCACATCTTAGAAGAGTATGAGAAGGAAGGAAAAGATTGGAGTTATTCTTGGTGAGGCTTTATAGGAAAGATGAAGGATTTCAAGGCTAAGGAAGTATGAGAAATGGCTGTGATGGCTGCTGGGATGCTTGCAACAGCCAAGAGAATGGGCCGATAGTCACTTGGATGCTTGCAGCAACTAAGAGAAAGTGGTTGCTGAGAGGCTTGCAGCAACCAAGAGAAGTTGGTTTTGCCTGGGCAATGCCTCCCAATTTATATAAGGGAAGGCTCTTTTTGGTTTCTAATAGGTAAAAGGAAGTGTTGGAACCAGTCTATTTCCAATGGGTAAAAGGGAGCATTGGGACATTCTTATTTCCAGCAGGTAAAGCCAAGCATTGGAAAATGACTATTTACTATGGGTAAAAGGAAGTGTCAAAATTGGCTTGTTTCCAGAGGATAATAGGGAGAATATCTCATTTGCTCACCCACATTGGAGAACTCTAAGTAATGGGCTTGGACTTTGGTGCTCCAAAGTAGCTAACCCGAAGTCTCCATTATCCAAGAGCTTCCTAGACTTTGTGGACCTTCATAACCTTCCACACCACAATCCCTTGTGCAAGCCCCGTGAACTACATGACTTGGGTTCATGTGAGCTTGGTAGGTTATTGGTATAGGAAAAATGTATTAGCGTGACATGAAGTTAGTGTGTTTCAGTGATTTGGGCTTTTGTGACTGAGCTTAGTGACATATCGGAATTAAAGGAATAGGTTTTTAGCATGACATGAATGCTATTAGAATTAGTATAAAAGTTTGTGTATATATTTATTTTGTCGAATTAATTCCCAAAAATATAATTTGAATTAATACATGACTAATTTATGCCCTATTTCGTACGCCATTTTGGGCTTTAAATGCTTTTGAGCTTGTCGTGACTTTTTGGGCCTCGACACCTACAAAAATCACTGACCAACAACTAGAAGCAAAAGCCCAAGCTTAAAAAAGCACAGAAGACCATCCCAAATCAAACAAAGAAGCTTAAAAAATGAATAACAACAAATCACAATCAAACTCCGAGATATGACAAAATCTTTTCCTTCAAGTCCAATAGCAATGAAATATATCACACTGGAGTAGAAGAGAAGCATGTTTTGATCGCAATGCATGTTACACAGCTGTTAGTACTATGTCATAGAAGTACACTATGAATGCTATGTCATAGAAGTACACTATTAATACTATGTCATAGAACTATGTTTCATCTTACTTATGTGGCATCTTTCTTTTGTTTAGTTAAAGTAACCTATTTGTTTCACTTAGCAGGTAATAGGGAAAGAGCTAATGAGGTTGAAATTCATATCAAAAACTTGCAAAAGGATCCTAACCCAGGAAAAGCACAAAAGAGCATCAACAAACACACAAGGGACACCACCAACAACAGCAAAAGCCAAACTGTCAGCACCTAAAGCCAATCCAACTGCACAAAAAACCAAACCTCAACAAACACTGACATCCAATACACCTACAACAAGGTCCACAGCTAAACAAACACCAAAACCATCCACAACCAAATCCAAAAACACAGTGAAACCAAAGAAAACAACGAATGCCAAAAGAACATCCCAAACACAAAAACCTATACAAAAAAGACCTAATGATCCAAATTATGTGCAGATGAAGAGCAACATGCTCACATTTGACAACACATTACAAAAGGTAAAGGAAAAGCTTGAATCAAAAAAGGATGTCCTCAAGATCCTACAAGAAACACCATTCTGGAGCATCATCGAGGCTTACATGGAAGGACAACTCACCAAGACAGTGCCAGAAGTCTAATTATGAAATAACATAATTAGACTAATCAAATTCTACAACCCTGCAACAACAAAAATTCAAATTCAATGAAGGCAATAAGTATCAAATTACAAGCAAAGATATGTCTAACATCTTTGGACTGCCAAACAGAGGAAACAAGTTGCCAAGCACAACAACTTCCTCAAGAACACATTTGGACTTTGAAAAAAATAATAATTCAAGACAATAAAAAAGATCACAAAAACTGATGTTGTAGGTGTCTAAATACAGTAATAGCATATGAGATAAAGCAATCTCTTTTGCAACTCTGGGGGGGACACTAGCTTATACCTTTTTGACTATGATCGACACCTCAGAAACAATGAACTGCTACAACTGGGAAAAAAGAGTATTAGATTACATGTATTTTGGATTGGACCAAGCCAACAAAAATAAGAAAGACAGGACAAAGCAACCAAGTGTCAGTGGTTGCCTTGTGCTAATCCTGGTAAGAAACAACATCCATTTGTTAATCCTATTATATTATTTGTTTTCATGTGCACTAATACTTTATATTGAAAAATATGTGTGCAGTATTAGCTATGTCAAAGAACTAACCTGATAAGTCCAATTCTTCATAGAGAAGATCACAAACCAGCGGCTATCAAATGGAGCCTTCCAGGGCTCAATATCAAGCTAACTATTACAAAATATATATAGTCCCTTTCTATTGAGAGACACACTTTAGGATCATCTACAATTTTTTTTTCAACAATCCAAACCATATATTTTTCAAGTCTACATTAGTAGATCATTCTTCCAAAACATTAAACAAATCGGAAACCATTTCGACATCCAATTGTATCCTACAAAATCAATGAACACGGTGCTTCAAGAAAGTACTAAAATTTCAATTGAAGCTTTATATATATATATATATATATAGACAGTTTCAAGTGATTTTTTGTAGAGATAATCTTTGAATGATTATCTAAAAAATAGATGGTTTGGATTAGTGAAATAAAATGTGGAATGGGCCCTACAAGGGTGTCCCTCAAATAAGCTTATTTAAGGAATATATATATTTATTTATTTATAATGTTAGTACACCATAATTACTACTGACTCCAATAATTAAACAGATAAAAGTTGTTGACAATGAAGAAGAAGAAGAAAAAATGCATACCATGAAGAACAAGAAGAAAAAGTGCAGAGCAACAACACAAACCAAAATAGTGTACAGCTTTGCCAAGAAAATGAGAATGTGGAAATGCATGAAAAGGATGATAATGCTGCTAAAGAAGAAAATGAAGAGGATGATGACCTTGTTCTGCACTACCATCATCTCTTAATTTTTTCAACCTGTCATGATATTCCTCAACGATCGGTGCATACAACTACTTACAAAAAAGCCATAAAATATTATGCTTGAAAGAGGAACCAACATAATTTGGATACTTTTTTTTCCAAGTTGTCCTTCAAATGATATAAACAAAAATCATGGGGAGAAGCATGAAAAACAGTCACCGTCGATAATAGCATCATGCCTATCAGAAATGAATGTAAGTTGTCTACCTTCATCCACCAAGACATCATATATCCCTTGCAAAAACCATCTCCAATTGTCCATAGTTTCATAAGATACAATCGCAAAAGCAAAAGGGAATACCTCTACAAGAAAAATAAAATAACATAACCATGACAACTGTATTAGTTAGTGTGAACATTGCAATAGCTAATAGTGTTACCACATGAAGCAGCGTAAAACTACAATGCATAAAAATACTCAGATGTAGGGTATGAACAATATAACAACTGTTCATATCACTCAATGAAAGTCAACAACTAAATCATTTCATTTGCATAATGGGTACAATATAAGTGTACAACTCCATACTGCTTAACATCAATTCATTTCCATAATGGGTACAAAAAATTGTAACAACAGCAGTAAAAAAAAAAGCATTGCATACCTTTATTTTCATTCTTTGCAATAGCTCCTAGAAAAGTACCCTTTTGCTTGTTTGTGATGAAAGTACAATCAATGAACAACATAGGCATATACCATCGGAAACCATTAATGGAGGACTTGAAACATATAAAGATCCCCTGGAAAAAGGAACCATCCTTGCCGCAGTCAAGCACACAATGAGATCCAACATTGCTGGCCTTCAAAACATCCACATACCAAGGTAGGTGAGCATAAGACAACTCCTCATCACCATGTAAATCCTTAGTAGCCGACTCCTTCCCATACCATGCAACATGATAAGGGATATCTAATCCATAATTTTCCTTCAAATCAGTACTCAACTTAATAGGCCTTACCAAAGGATTGCTACGAACTTTATCATTAACAACTGAAGACACCAAACTAGACCCCATTGCCTTATTTATCTTCTCACAGATCAAACCACTGCAACTGTGTACGTTATTTAAATTCTTAATATATAAAAATCCATTTATATTGGACTTAACAGCATGCACATGCCACTCATAGTCATTTGATTCCTTCTTAGCACACACGACAGTAACACGACGAGGCTCATTTTTCAAATACTTCATCTTAAAACAATTCTCAATCAAGTACTTAGCCAACTTATCACGGAATTCACAAACTCCACCCTCAAACTTCTGACCCTCACGAGTAATATAACCTTCTCAATCAGTAGACAAATACTTACAACCTCCACAACTTCCATATTTGCCTAAATAGTCATTTCCAAACTCACTACTACTACCATCAAAATCAATACTCAAACAAGAAGAAGAAGCTGCACTTGAATCAACAATACTACCAACCACACTTGAATCTTTACATATATCCTCATCTTGCTCAATACTACCATTATTATGTACAACCTCCAACAAAAAACGAGAAGCAATTATAGTCGTATTAACTTTTTGAACATCATTCACTACAGCCTTATCCCAAACAACAATGTGAATTAATTGATCCTTCATCAGTCCACATACCATAAACATGATTTTCAAATAATCATTAGATTCCAGTAAACAATTGGAGTAATCCATAAAAGAGTACCTCAACTCAAAATGGCATAACTTAAGCTTAAACCTACTACACAACTCATTGGACACCCAATCAAAATAAGAAGTTGGAGACAAAATTAGCATTAAAGTTCCAGCACCACAGGTGCACTTGGCCACTCTCAAATCATCCATATCTCTACAAACAAACAAACAAAATAAAAATGACTATAGGCAATAATAGTGGATGCTAAATGCATTAACAGCGAATTATAGTCGACTCAGAAACCAATAGTGCATTAACATAAAAAAACACAAATATACTCATATTCAACTAAAAAAACATACCTCAATTAAAATGAAAATCAAATCAAATCAAATATCACATATTTGTAACTATAGCCCAAACCAAGACAGAAGCGCAAATCCACAACCAAACCGAATATGAAATCAATACAAATTATAAACAAAAAGAAATTAAAATCACAATTTAAAACTCAAATGAATATCTAAATACAAATTAGAACGAAATTAGAAAATCCAATAACTTACCTCCAAATCAACAATAATAAAGATAAATAGATAAAATGAAAAAGAACTGGATCTGCATTTCAAATTTAAACTCCAAAACTACAAAAATAAAAAAATGAAAACCTAATCAATAACTTAATTAATCGAACATGAAATCACCAAAAATTTGACTACAATAAAGAATTCACAAGAAAAAATCGAAGATCGTAGATCGCACATCACACACAAATAACAAAACTCCAATTGCATATGATGTAGCACAATATCACTCCAAAAATCACCAATCCAACTAAAAGTAAACAAAAAAATTCAAGCAATAGAATCTACACGTCACACCAAAAATCAAGCTCAAAATAATCGAAAACGGAGATCTAGGAAGAAGATTAAGGGAGAACAAGTAGAGGAGAGGATGGTTAATCAAAAGATAGATGGTCGGGTTAGAGCTTGCTGGTTAGCTGGGCGAGAAAATAGAAAGAAAAATAGAGAGATGGAAAATGAAGTAAGCTTGAGCCTGGGGAACCATTAATGGATTAAAGCAAAGGATAGCTTACTGAGCTTCATTTGAAGAGGTGAATGAAGTTCGTTTCGTTTGGAATATTCGATCTGCTCCAACAGAAATCACTAGGCTGCCCAAACATAATTTCAATTCTGAGGTCACCAACCTAATTTTTCAGAATTTCCTATCCAAGCCGAAGAGTTATGGGCCTGTTTCTCAAAATTCATGCAAGAGGGCAAAATCGTAATCCAACATAGCCATTGAATTGAAAAACAAACAGCTGTCAATTTTTGGGTTTATTTTGGGTGTGTTTATATACATTAAATGGTATAGGGTTTCTTTATAGAACTATGTCTAGGAATGGGTACCGAACTAATTTTATACATATATAAACCCAACAGTTTCCTCCTTGAAGATAAGTTCTAGCCCTTGGAAAAACAAAGAGTATTTCCCCAGTGTTACAGGGGTAAATTTTCACCTTAATTTAAACCCTTGTAATGGCGCTATGCACCAAGCACAGTCTCAGCCACTCGCACACTCACACACAGATAATGGCAAGGGTGAAAAACATTTTTAATTTTTCGATCCTTGCTCGGCACTTAGACTCCTCCTAAGTCAGCCTTCTCGCACCTCCAACTCATGAGACTTTAGATTTCATGCAGTGGAACAAGCAAATGTCAACACACCCAAGCAAGACTTGTCTAAATAGGAAAACTCACACACAATTTACAGCTAAGTTCCCAACCTTCTATTCTTTCTCTCAATAACAAGGAATACAAGCTTCTTACTTTTGTTGGACTTCCACATCACTTGGTATCTCAACTCAACCTTCTCAAGGTCTATTTATAAGCATAAAACTTGTCGATGACATCCTCATCTATTAGGCATTGCTGGCAGAACCTAGGTCTGCCACCTTAGTCTTTCAGTTTCCTCACAAAACTGTCTAGGCCCTTCTTGGCACCTCCCCAACAGCCCACTGCATAGAGGCCTATTTTCTCGCCAAAAAAATTTGCCCACAACTCGGAGCATGCAGCCACACTCTTGCAAACTACTCTCAACTGCTCCACCACTTATCCATATTTGAATTTCGAATCCCAACACCTTAGCCACGTTCCAGCACCTTTAGAAACACCAAAAACTTCCTGCGACACGTCACAGCAACTGTCGAGCATGTTGCTTGCACATGCCACGTCTGTTGCAAGGCCTGTTAACACGATGCACGCTAGCTGCCGAGACCACCTGATGTAGGTTGTTGAGACAAATATGTCAACATCCTGTCGACACTTACCTGATGGTCTCAGCATCTATCTTGTCTCACTGTGTATTATGGGCATTGGCTGCCCATGTCATGTCAATGTCTTGGCTGCCTACTTTTAGCCCAAAACTGGCTTCCTCCAACCTTGTCTTGCTTCCAATGTGCATCGTTGTTGCACTCCTTGCTTGCATTGGCATGGTGCAAAACACAAAAACCATGTCATGGCTTATGTCGCTTGCTAAAGGTCTTGCAAACCACACAACCACAATTGTCCGACGCCCTCATCGACTTACCTTCTTAGAAGCCCTCTTTCATTTGAACATTTCTTGGCTCCTCTTGAACCACTTCTCCATTGGCCTCCTTCATAGACTCGTCATCACTTGACTCAATTAGGATCACCTCTATCTTGGACTCTACCAAAGGCTCCTCTTCATGTCACTTGAGACCACAATAATTTCGGCCTTAGACTCTTCCATAGGCTCGTCCATCCACTACGGCTCCTCCTTAGCCTCTTGGCTTTTGATACTTTTCCAAACATAGTGTCCCTTAAGTTATGATGCTATCCATTGCTGAGCTAACTCATGGCCCATCTTCGTCCGAAGGGTCCGAAGCCGAAGAAATAGATTGGGTCACATTTGTCATCAACTCATCAAACCGCACCTTGAAGTCCATGTACCTCATGGACATATAGGCCAACTCGAAATCGAACTCCTCCAGCACATCCACATAAATGCCAAAGTCCTCTCGAACTGTACCCGTGATGTACATGTGGCTATGCAGCAGACAAGTCCTCGCCATAAACTTTCAATCCAACATGCAGATTCTCCAAGTATCAAGACAATGCGCTAACGCCGTATACTGCGTCACTTCTAGCCCACAATTAGGATCCCAATTCGGCTCCATGTTTTCAATTGCCTTTATAAGCATACCTACATGCACCAAATCAACATCATTGAAAATCTCTGAGGGTTCCATTGACATGACCCTTACCCGAATTCCCCCTCGAAACTCGTGTCGAATCCTGTTATATATTCTGACACCCGAACAATGCCGGACTCACTACTAACTTTACACCCATCACCGTACTTTAAGAAAAATGGGTCGAGACTTCTACCAAAATTTTGGCAGAGAGTCTCCCCTATAAAATGAACTTTTCCCAAATTAACACTTGTAACAACGACAACTAATAATCCCAACTGGCAGCACACACAAGATAAGGCACACACAAATTACACATGGCCTCCAGCCTCAAATTTAGTCCTAAGTGGGAAATATCATAGCAACTAATTGAGTTAAATTTACAAAGTTAGTTCCCAAATAAACAACGAAAATGGAAAATACAGTTTCCTACTAGGTAGAACTACAAAGACTTCACCGACGCTGAAGTAGCTTATGTGATCGTCCGAACTCTGAGCTATCTACTTCCTGGGGGAGCAAAACAGTACAAGAGTGAATGGACAAAAAGAAAGTTTTTCTTGAAAGTAATTATACAAAACATACTAACCCCTTTGTTTTCGCAAACCTTTGAAAACTCACAAATACATTTGTAAATACACATACAGGAATGAGATATGAAATATACAAATATACATAAAACATACTAGGAATTAACTGGTAAGCAGAAATGCAATAAACACAGTCTTTATTTCAAAACATCAATCTAAATCCAACACATCAAACAATCGTTCAACAAAAATCAAGTTTCAAACCATTCTTTGAAATTCAGTAAATCAAGCAAGCTCAAATACAAATCATCCGAAATCCAGTCTCAATCCAATTAATACAAAAACTCTCCACCCAGGTATACCTATGGGGAAAACTGGCCAACCCTGTGTAGTATATCGGTAGGGTGGCAGGGGAAATCCTAGCCAGACACCCACATAAGTAGGTATAGGCAATTCACTGGCCAAACACCTACAGAATAACCTTACTACAGGTACAGGCAAACCACTGGCCAGACCTGCATAGTCAATATAGGTACAAGTGATATACTCTGGCCAGACTCCTACAGAGTAGTCTCTATGTAGGTACAAGCAATTTTAGTCATGTGCACAAACTTTACGAAAGGCAACCCATATATTCCGTAGGCAACTAGGGATAGGTACATATGGTGGGTTTGAAATCCACTTCTCGACACTTAAATATAAAAACTCCCTTTTTCACAAATCCCTTTTTCAAACTCTTACCCAAATCCTTTCTTAACCATTCAAAATTTCAAGTATGCATCAATAAATAATTAAATAAACGAAACCCCCTTTTTAAACCGTTAAATAAACCCAAATTTCGCTATCTTGATTTCTAACCAATAAAAACTTATCAAAACATTCTCGAAGTAAAACTGAATAAAAACCCACAAATAAAATCCATACTAAATAATTAATCGACAAACTCGCATAATTACCACTTATAAATCCTCCCGAAACAAATTGTAAAATTAAATCATACAAAAGCATTTTAATATCAACCTCAAGTACTAAACCACGAATAAACTAATATAAATCATTTCAACCAAAGCCAAACGCTCAGAAAATAAATACCATAAATAATTTATTAACTTAACTCAAGCCATGCATAATCCTTCAACACCGTTCTCAAACCAAATTTGAATATACATAATATACTATTTAGAAAACTAGTAACTATAAATCGTCAATTCCATAAAACAACACAAATAATAATCACAATCCAAGAGTTTCATAAAACTATTTAGAAAACAAATGTTCACTCACTCACGGTCCAAAGCACAATTAACTCTTTGCGGTTTCGTCTGGAGCAATTCTTTGCGCCTGAAAACATATTGAGAGAATACTAAGATTAACTTGGTAATCGAACCCAACTTCGAACTTTAAAGATTAAACTCTAGTTCCCGGGACTCAATAGTGTGTGTATTACAAATGGGAAGTTCCTAGTCGAACAATAAAAATACATGTCTTTATAACATCCCTATATAGTAACAAAGTTTCCACAATTTGTCGTTTAATTTCTTTTTATCATTTCTTAGACCTTTGAGACTTTTGTAAAACCACTTAGGTCCTTAATTAAACCATAATTACACTTATGTCTCATTAACTTTTGAATTACAAAGTTTACCCCAAACTTTTGGGTAATTACATTTTGGCCCTCAAACTTTAAATAAAATTACAAATCTGCCCAACATTGTAACTTCCTTTACAGATTGGTCCATGGTGCCAAAACAGTAAATGTCTAGGCCAAAATCCAGAATTTCCTTTTGCCAAGTTTAGTTTCAAAGCCAAGTTAGACATTCAAACTCAAATAGTCCTCACTGGTTTTTCCAGATTGCACTTAACTTAGCTTTAAACTCAAGAATACATTCAATTCCATGAATACAACTTTAGAACAGATTTTTCCAACAACTGAACTAACTTAAACTTTACCTCAATCCTTTGAATCTTTCTGCAATGCACAAAGAAGGCCCCCAAGGAGTAAAACCACCAAACAACAGTTATACTATGTCCGAGAGGCCTAAACTTGTTGTATGGCCACCATCTTTGTATATGTTGTAGAGAACAGAAAACTGAGCAACATTCAAGAAGCAATCTTGGACATCGAAGCAAGGTAAATCGACATGCAAGAGTGAGTAATGTGCTGTAGAGTTAAAACAGCAGAACAGAGGACTTACTAACCTTGAACAAGATTTCAGATGGTTAGAGAACTCCAATTGCTGTGAATTTTGGATATGTCATAGTTCTCTAATGAAGGAACAACCTGTATGAAGAAGTTTTCATCGAATGATCGGTAAAAATTGACATGCAAGAAAGAATTCGAGCCTACATCAATACAGCAGACAGGAATGAGCAGACGGCATTTCAACACGCTTTGAGATGACTACACTTCTTGGATGAAGCTCCAATCTTGATAGATTATAGCCAAGACATAGATGAACAATGTTGATGAAGGGTAATATTCCATTAGAGCAAAGGAATGCTACATGGAAGAGTAAATATATTCACACTAGTGTGGAACCAGTAAACAGGAAGTAAGAGAACATTTGTCTCAACTTGAATACGATTTAAGGTAGGTAGACATCTCCGATTTCCTTGATATTTGGATATTTTGTAGCACTCGAGCTCAGCAAAAAATTTCGTGAAGGAATAGAGGTGAAAATTGCAACAGGAACTCGCATGAAAAAACCAATCCGTGCATAACACAGAGTACCAGACAGAGATGCGCTATTCGTCCTCCAACTGAGGTTTGAGGTGTTTATATTTCTCCGATTGGGCTAAGTTTCAGATATATTCTATTAGAGAGGCAGATGAACAAGTCTGAAGAAGGAACTATTTCATTTTGAGCTCAGGAAGTTAATGCTTTGGACCTGTGAACAGGTCTGTGTGGTATTGATGAGGTTCTGACGGGTTTGGGAATTATGATGAGTTTGTGGGACTATATGAGGGGGAATGAAGAGAATATTTGTGGGACTTGTGCTGACCAGACTTGGGACTCATCAAATACAGGCGTAGGAAGGTCTGGCTCGGGGTATTTTAAATTTTGACTTCTCCAAAATTACGATTGTGCCACTACACTTCCGTATATCACAACTTCCTCTTTAAAACTCCTATTTGAGCCCACTACATGTCTACGAATTCATGAGAGCGAGCTCTATGCAATGGAGCAACTCTAACTCCCAAAAATAATTCCGAACAAAAAGTGACCAAACTACCCCAACCCCCAAGGGTAAAATTGTAATTTCGCAAATAGAAATAAATTGATTAAAACCATTAAATTAGGTCGGGATGTTACATCCATGGCAAACATATCCATGAAAACCTCAATTACCTCCAAGCTGGTTGCATAATCGTATCCTCTCCCAATGGATCTTCTGATGTGATCACTCTTAGTGAATTCAATAGCACCATCGACTCACTTGGAGATTACTGCCCTCTTCAACACCTCCCTCATTTTCCGTCACGATTGCATTCAAGTTCTGCCACCTCGGACAATCCTTCACACAATGGGCTCCTTGGCAAAGAAAGCAACTCGAGAATAGTCAAAAGAGTACAAATATATAATTGGTTCGCCAGAGTCTTAAATTGAAGTGCTTTAATTTAGGATTATCAATTGTTGAATCCTGGGAGATTTACACATATTGAATTGCGAGCATAAGGACAAGGACGAAATTTGTGTTTAGGTGCAATTCTCATAAGCCTCAATCGCTAATGTTTTCAATATTTCTACACATTTATGTTTGTTAGTTTACATGAGTTCTATTCAAGTTTGCTGTCATATGTTTGTTGAGAATTATTATCTTTAAATTCATATGTCCTATTGTTCCGCAACACTAAATGCACCACAATAGTAAAACGGCTAGGACTTAGCCTAATGACAACTAATCCTACTAAAGCCTCTGTCTCCAGTTGTGTGAGGTTGCTCTCTCGTCGTACGAGGAGAGCCGTCTTTAGGGTTTTAGGTCTTTCACGGGGTTTCTTCTTCTCAGTACCGGGTATTAGGGGTTGACGGCTGCTTCAAGGCTACAACGGTGTCTGCGGGCTGGTGTTTACTCGTGCAGTGTTTCTAGGGTTAGGGTTGTGTGGTGTGACTTGGGGAACACGCTCGGCACATTACTGGGGCCGACATGGTTCTGGAGGATTTTGAGAGCTCTTTTTGAGCGGCAATTAGATCTGACTGATCGGGAACGAGTTGGAGTGGTGATTGGCAGTGCGGCAGTATCGGACCGCTTTGTTGGCTTTCCATATAGTCTGGTGGCTAAAATTGTATCGCAGCAAGAAGTTCATCGTGATAATTTTATTAAGACTTTTACTAGCCTGTGGAAAGGATCTGACGAGGTTTCGATCAAGGAGATAGCCCACAATCGATTTTGGGTTCGATTTGTTTGTGATCGGGACCGCCAAAGGGTTCTTGACATGGAGCCTTGGACGTTTCGTAGGTCATTGATTTTATTGGCTGCGGTGGCTGAGGAGGACTGTATTCATACGATGACGCTTACCCATGGCACCTTCTGGCTCCAGATACATGGGGTCCCAAGTTTCTGTATGACGGTGGCTGTTGCCAATGCTATTGGATCGACGGTGGGTGAGGTACTACGGGTGGATAATAGGGATGGGCAAGACTGTATTGGTCGTTTTATTCGTGTCCGGGTTCGATTTGATGTTCGTCTGCCTTTGATGAGAAGGACCCCCCGTCACTTTTCCGGAATTGGGGGAGAAGATCATAGAGTTTCGCTATGAGTATCTCCCAGAATATTGTTTTGCTTGTGGTTGCTTGGGGCATCCCACCCAAGACTGCGTGAAGAAACATGAGGCTCTAAGAGGCAAACTCAACCCTGAGGACCTTGCTATTTTCACCTCTGCTTTTGAGGGTCTAGAAGGTGTCATCAATTTGTGGGGGAAACCGATTGGGTCGTCGGCAAGGCGCCTTTCCTCTCAACAGCATGGCTCGTCATATACGGAGAGAAAGAATGGTGGGGAAGGGTCCGGTGGGCACTCTTGGCGTGCGTCTCGTCATGACTCTGAGGAAGCCATGGACACGGCCTCCTCTCCTTTTAAACTACGTCAACGGCGAGAGGCTTTCTCATCCAGCCCGGGGATAGCTCCCACGACTGGAGGTCGTTCAACAGATGATGATGGGATAGGGGGTATCTCCCCTTCTGTTGCTGGCGTGATAGATCTCGTTTTGGTGCAGAATGTCAACCTGGGTGTCAAGGGTACCCCTTCAGCACTTGATCAGCGGGGCACTGGTACGGTGGCCCCTGTGGCAGGCATACCTTCTGTTTCAATGGATCCCTCTCGGACTGTACAAGCATCTGCTGCCCCCGTTGGGGGGGACACGAATGCGGTCATTGCACAAACTAGTGACCCTTTTAACTTTATGCCTATAATTGAGAAAACAGCACGTAAGGTTACGGGTCGCGGACGTGGGAGGCCAAGGCGGGTGACAGAGCCCAGCGGGTCTGGTATACAAGGGGTCTCTACGCCTCATCTAAAAAGAAAGCATATGGCAGATCATATGGGGGTGGACGGTAGCGAGCAGGAAGTTAATGGTGCTCTCGAAAAACGACGGCTATGTGATAATATGCCTATTATACAGGCGGAGGAGACCAGCCTTGAGGGGTCTCCCCGGTCTCAATGTTAGTCTTCAGTTGGAACGTTCGGGGGCTTGGCAACCAACGAACGTTCCGTGACCTGAAGAGCTTTCTTCAGGATAAGAGGCCAGATGTGATTTTCTTATCTGAAACACGAATGACTGCAGTACAGATGGGGAAATTACATACTAGGTTAGGGCTTGGTGGGGTGGTTTGTGTTCCCCGTGTTGGTTTTTCAGGAGGTCTATGTCTACTCTGGCAGGTAGGGCTCCAGGTTGATCTACTCTCTTCCTCTCCTGGACATATAGATGTTCGGGTTACTATGAATACTTATGCAACTTTCCGTGTGACTGGTTTTTATGGTCATCCTGACCAAACCCAGCGCCATCATTCATGGGAGCTACTGCGGCGCTTGGGTAGAGTGGATCTTGGACCCTGGCTATGCTGTGGGGATTTCAATGAAGTAATGGAATGCAACGAAAAGAGTGGGAACCGTTTGAGACGTGATGCACAGATGGAGGATTTTAAAATGGCCATTACAGATTGTTGTTTGTTTCAGTTTGAGTTTACAGGTTATCCCTTTACATGGAGCAATAAACGGAAGGATACAGCTCATGTGGAGGCTCGCTTGGATAGAGGGTTTGGAAATTTGGCACTTCTGCAACACTGGGGCAATTTCACGTCCCATCATTTAGTTGCTTTCTCCTCTGACCACCATCCGATTCTCATTGCATCTGACAGGCCACAAGGTGACAAAGCTAGAGATCCTAGAGGTCGTCGTCGGTTTCATTTTGAGGAGGTATGGACTACGGAAGTTGACTGTGAAGAGGTTGTTCGTCAATCTTGGCAGAATGCAGTGTCACCCCTTTCTAATATTGCCAACTGTGCCAGCAACTTGTCACGCTGGTGTGCCGAAAAGGGTGGCCAGGTCCCCAAGAAAGTTAAGGAGTTACGGCTTAGGTTGGCAAGTCTTCAATCAGATGAGCCGTCGACGCAGACTTTTCATACTCGTAGTCTCATTGAAACTGAACTTGATAAGTGTCTTGAACAGGAAGAAATTTATTGGCACCAGAGATCGCGGGTCCAGTGGCTTCAGCATGGAGACCGTAACACCTCTTTTTTTCATAAGCAAGCCACAAGTCGCAGGAAGAAAAATGCCCTAGTAGGGATACTAGATGAAAATGATCGTTGGCAGAGTGAAAATGATAAAATAGGTGGAGTTTTTGTGGAGTTTTTTACAAATCTTTTCACATCGGATATGGGCGTTGCTGATGTGGAGGTTTTTAGTGCTGTCCAAGCGCGAGTGTCCTCACGTTCTTATCATAATCTGCTCCTCCCGTATTCTAGGGATGAGATCGAAGTAGCCCTTAACTTTATTGGCCCGTCAAAAGCTCCAGGTCCAGATGGTATGCCTGCACTCTTCTATCAGAAATATTGGAGCATTGTGGGTCCGGATGTTAGTGATTTGTGTCTGAGAGTTTTAAATGGTAGTGATGGTGTTAACGATTTCAACCATACGTTGGTGGCTCTGATTCCGAAAGTTAATTCTCCCACCCGTGTTTCGGAATATCGTCCTATCAGTTTATGCAATGTCCTCTACAAGATTATCTCCAAAACTCTTGCCAATAGACTGAAGAAGGTGTTACCTGAGGTTATTTCTGAATTCCAGAGTGCATTTATTCCCAACCGTATGATTTTGGATAATGTCTTAGCAGCTTTTGAAACGGTCCATTGTTTGAAGAGATGGGGAAAAACAGGCAAAAAGAAATTAATTTTGAAGCTTGATATGGCCAAGGCCTACGACAGAGTTGAAAGGAAATTTTTGGAGCAGATGTTGCGGACTATGGGTTTCCCAATCCGGTTTATTCAATTAATTATGGGGTGTGTGACTACTGTTTCTTATTCGCTGTTAATTCAGGGGCGGCCATTTGGGCGTATTATCCCTTCTCGAGGCTTACGGCAAGGGGATCCTATATCACCGTATCTTTTCCTTATTGTGGCTGAAGCCTTCTCGGCTCTCCTCCAGCAGGCTGAGAGGGATTCTAGATTACATGGTGTCTCCATTGCCCCTTCTGCTCCTTCTATTAACCATCTCTTTTTTGCCGACGACAGCCTTCTGTTTTGTAATGCTGGGACAACTGAGGCTCTCGAGCTTAAACGTATTTTTGGAGTGTATGAGTCGGCTTCTGGACAAAAGGTCAACCTTGGAAAATCTGCCCTTTGCTTTAGCCCTTCCACCCCAAGGGTGTTGCAGGACGACATTCGTCAGCTGTTGAACGTGACTATTGTCCCTTGTCATGAGCGGTATTTGGGCCTCCCTACTATCGTCGGTAAGGATAAGAAAAAACTGTTCCGTACGGTGAAGGATCGAGTTTGGAATAAAGTTAATGGTTGGCAAGGCAAGCTTCTGTCGAAGGCCGGGAAAGAAGTGCTCATCAAATCAGTATGTCAGGCAATTCCTTCATATTCTATGAGTGTGTTTCGATTGCCTGTCGGGTTATGTCGCGAGATTGAGAGTATCATTGCCAAATTCTGGTGGTCTAAAAATGATGGTAGAGGTATTCATTGGAAAACATGGAGGTTTATGTGCCAACACAAGTCTGATGGGGGGATAGGTTTTAGGGAATTGACAAGCTTTAATCAAGCTCTTCTGTGTAAACAAGGATGGCGGCTGCTGGAATTTCCTAACTCACTGATTGCCCGGATGTTTAAGGCTCGTTATTTTCCACATTCTGATTTTTTGGCAGCTTCGAGTGGGTCCCTTCCATCGTTTACTTGGCAGTCGTTACTATGGGGGCGGGATCTGCTCCGGCTGGGCCTAAGGTGGCGCATTGGTGATGGCCGGTTGGTTAATATCTATGGCGACCCTTGGGTGCCTTATGATCGTTTTTTCACTATCCAGTCGATCCCTACTCTTCCAGTTACCTCCCGAGTTTGTGATCTTTTTACCGCTAGTGGCGGGTGGGATGTTAGGAAGGTTTTTGCTTCTTTCTCATTTCCAGAAGCTGAAGCTATTTTATCTATTCCCTTAATGGGTGATACTCTGGATCGGAGAATATGGAACTTTACTAAAAATGGAAGGTACTCGGTTAAGAGTGGGTACTGGGCTGCTCTGGAATATAAGAGGCTGGAGGAGTTGTCCACAGGGGGCGTCGCTGGCCCTTCCTCTTCTTCCTTGAAGAGTTGGAAGCACCTGTGGAAGCTGAAAGTGCCACAAAAAATCCTTCATCTGTTATGGCGTGTGGCTCAAGATATCCTCCCTTCCAAGGAGGTCTTATTCCGGCGCCGGATTACACAGGGGGAGGTCTGTTGTCGCTGTTTTGCTGCGAGAGAAACTACGTTGCATGCGTTGGTTGGATGTGATGTTTGTCTGCAGGTGTGGGAGGCTTTAGATTTTCCCAGTAATTTCCTTCTTCCTACTTTAGCTGACGTTGGAACCTGGATGGATGCAATTTGGTCTATTATTCCCCCTGATAAGCAGTCTCTCTTTGCATTTACTGTGTGGGTGTTGTGGAATTAACGTAATGGGGTGCTGTTTGGCTCTCAACCCACCCCTTCCGGAATTTTGGTACAACGAGCGAAGGACTATGATGCTGAATTTAAACGATATTCTGCTGCCAATCATAGGAGTTTATCCTCGCCGGTTTGTGATATTAAATGGAGGCCTCCTACGGGTAATTGTTTCAAGTTAAATGTGGATGGGGCTACTGACATGGAGACGGGAGCTAGGGGAGCTGGTGCCATCGTCCGTGACTCTCATGGAAAACTGGTTGGGGCTCTAGCCATGCGGGCCCCAAGTCGGATCTCTGTACTAGCAACAGAGCTGTATGCTCTTAAAGTTGGAATCTCTTTTGCGTTGGATATGTCCCCAGTGCCTCTGGAGATTGAGTCTGATTCCTTGCAGGCAGTTTCTATGGTCAACAGTGAGGAGGAATGCCTTGCTGCTGAGGGAGGTCTGGTGGATGGAGTGCGACGCCTTCTGGTCAGGTCTGCGTCTACTGCTGTTCGACATATTCCTCGCCAAGCGAACAAGGCTGCCCATCGCATTGCCCGATTCAGTCTACGCGATCAAAGTTTGTCGCTCTGGTTGGATGTGGGTCCTTTGTGGCTTATGGACGCTGTTTATGATGATTGTCACGAGCCTACTGTCGTTTGATTTAATATCTTCATGTGTAATCGGGCATATGTGGCACTCTTTTTCCTCCCCTGAAGTTTTTCCCATCGGGTTTTCTTTAGGGAGGTTTTAATGAGGCCATACTACCCATGCCGACATTCCTTTGTCATGTTGATTAATTGAATGAAGTCTTTCCAAAAAAAAAAAAAAAAAAAAAAAAACCACAATAGTAACTGCAGGTATTAAGCACTAGGTAACACTATGTTTTGGGTTTGTATGAATTTTTGTAAGGGAAAATTGCTAGAAAAGTTGTGGGATTATGCCATAGATAAAGAGTCCTCTTTAATTCACCCAATCCAATCAAGATTTTGTGGGAGGAGTGCAATGGTGGGGAGGAGTAAATTGACCATATTACGAAAAGATAAAATGAGTAGTTATGTTCCAAAAAAATAGGTCCCATTATCATTTTTTTTTATAAATAAAAATAAAAATTGACCATATTATCCTCATTTATTAAATTTTTAATATTTGCATTAACCAATGACATTTTCTGGTATTTTGAGTGTTTCACCATTCTCTGCCTTTTGATTTACATATATAGATTTGTACCACAACCTTCTAGTTTGGGAAACACGGTCTTTTTGTCATGATTGTTTTCTATTTCGTCCACTTGGAATAATTTATATTACTTTACAACAAGGAGGGATGAGGAAGGAGAGAAGAGAGAGAGAGAGGGAAGGGGACTTGCCGTTGACGGAGGGGGGATTTGGCGGCTGCTCCCCATGGAGGGAGAGAGGTAGGAGCGCCAAGTGGTTGAGTTCTTCTAGTTTTTCTTTTTCTTGAGTTAATTACCGCATTATGACTTGGCATTTAGTTGGGTGAAGATGGTGGGTAGATGTCGGCATAGGTTGGGTTAGTCTTGGTCCCAATCTGCAATCCAACTCATACATAGTGGTTTATGATTTCTTGGGACCTGCTTATTATTAGGCCAACCCAATCCAACTCTTTTGTGATTGATTTGGGCCATTTGATTATGTTAACCCAAAATTATGCCCACTCTTAAGTTTTGATTTCAACCCGTACATAGAGGTTTATAATTTTTTGAACCCAATACCCACTCATTACTAGGTCAACCCCCTTATGATCGGGTTGAGCTATTTGGTCGAGTTACCCAAAATTATAACCACGAAGTTAGGTTAACTGCGCAAAGCAGCGTACCAGTTTCTTTACACCCACGTCTGATCCTCTCCTTGTACATTAGAATAGTATAGATATCGTATTGTCAAAATAGAAAAATAATAATAATAATAATAATTGGTGAACGAAAATGTTGAGGGTTCTAAAGGAAATGTTATGCTTCTAAAGGAATAGTTGCAGCTTCTAATAGAAATGTTGTTGCTTGCTGCCAAGGGAAATGTTCAGTTAGTTCCAAAAGACAGGTTGTTGGATCTTAAGGATAGGAAAAGGGGAATGAAGGAGGTCTTAGAGGTAAGGAGAGAGTGGAAGAGTTTGATAATCTACTTATCTTCCCCATATATTCGAAAAAGAACTATACAATATAGACACTAAATGTATGTTTCAACCCGCATGAAAATTAGAGAACTAAACCCTAGTTTTGGTTTCTTGCCAAGCAATGTCATTCTTTTGATGACAAAGAAAATTAAGTCAAAGAAATAAAATGAAAAACTTCGCTTGACCCCAGATTATTTAATACTTTTGGATACTCATACAACATAATGAAATCTGTGTACAAAATGACCAACATCTCAAAGTCAGTCATAACATAACTCTTAACGGTAAGGAAATTCACAAATCTCATGAGGTACAAAGAAGCATTATGACATGACAAACGGCACATGCTCATGGAAACATGTTCATGTGGCTTTCCATGAAGACACTGGTGGAGTTTCAGAGTTCTTCCAAGTACTAACGTCATCTTTAATGGCATCAGCAGAAGCAAAAGATTCAAGCTCAGCCAGTTCTTCTGGTGTCAGTTTTACAGAGAGAGCACCAATGTTCTAGTTAAAATTCTCAATCTTGGTGGTTCCGGGTATCGGACACACATCCTTTCCTTGATGATGAACCCAGGCCAGTGCTAACTGAGATGGGGTGCACCCTTTCCTTGCAGCAAGATCACTAACCCACTCGAATAGTGTTTTATTATGCTCTACGTTTTCGGGTTGGAACCTGCTGTGAAGCTGCAACCATTGAACTAAACAATTCAGAATCAAGACTAAGTTTGCTTGATCAAAATGACACGATAAAGATGTACAACATCCAATGGACAGAAATAAGCATGACCAGAAAACTACGGATAACTTTCTAGGAAATCAGGAGAAGCTCATGGGCAACCTTTCTTGCCAATTTATTTCTTCAAATTATAGTGAACCATTCGTTACTCTTACCACATTTGTATTCCACATCCTTATACCATCTTATACGGCAACTGAGACAGACAGCCACATCAATTAAATCATAAAAGAAAAGAAAATATTAAATAATTTTAATTGATGTGGCGGTCCACCTCAGCTGCCACATCATGTGTTATATAATGGATATATTCTCTTAAAAGCTAGCTAACTGATTGAAACGTTTGACCAGAAAACATTATCTTCCTCAATTATTCGTAAAAGAACATACAATATAGACACTAAGTGTATTTTTCAACCCACATGAAAATTAGAAAACAAAACCCTAGTTTTGGTTTCTTGGCAAGCAATGTCATTCTTTGTTGTGATCTCTTAAAAATTGCTAGTGACAGAGAAAATTAAATCAAAGAAATAAAATGAAAAACTATGCTTGACCCCAGATTATTTCATAGTTTTGAATACTCATACAACATGATGAAATCTGCGTACAAAATGACGAACGTCTCAAAGTCAGTCATTACATACCACTTTACATGCACTACTTATTCTCATAACGGTAAGGAAATTCACAAAGCTCGTGAGGTACAAAGAAGCATTATGACATGACAAAATGCACATGCTCATGTGGCTTTCCATGAAGACACTGGAGGAGTTTCAGAGTTCTTCCAAGTGCTAAAGCCACTCTGATATCTGCCACCTTTAACGGCATCAGCAGAAGCAAAAGAATCAAGCTCAGCCAGTTCTTCTGGTGTCAGTTTCAGAGAGAGAGCACCAATGTTCTGGTTAAAATTCTCAATCTTGGTGGTTCCGGGTATCGGACACACATCGTTTCCTTGATGATGAACCCAGGCCAGTGCTAGCTGAGATGGGGTGCACCCTTTCCTTGCAGCAAGATCACTAACCTGCTCGAATAGTGCTTTATTATGCTCTACGTTTTCGGGTTGGAACCTGGGGTGATCCTGCAACCATTGAACTAAACAATTCAGAATCAAGACTAAGTTTGGTTCTTCTTCAAAATGACATGATAAAGATGTACAACAATCCAATGGACAGAAATAAGCATGACCAGAAAACTACAGTGAACTCTCTAGGAAATCAGGAGAAGCTCATGGTCAACCTTTCTTGCCAATTTATTTCTTCAAATTATAGTGAACCATTAGAGAAACCGAAAGGCCTAAATGAAAAATGGGAGTGTGGAACTCTGCCACAAAACATTATAAAATAAAGAATATTGAAGCAAATTAGAACGTTAGTGGGCTCTGACTGTCTGGATGAATGACAGCTACTTAGGTACTAACGTTATAGAAAGAAATTTTGTGCACTACCCAAGTTTTTGATGGAGAGAAGACTACTGAGAAAACTCAGTAAGAGGATACTAGGAGAGACTACTAAGCTTTGTGAGATGAATTATCAAATTGAGATCTTGCAGGGGAGATGGAAGTTCAGGAAATACACAATAATAGCATCATGATGATACCAAGAAAATTTTATCTCGCAGTTTGGTAATTTAATATCGAAAATTTTTTTGAAATACCAACAAACCTTTCGAGAATCATCATGGGAGAGGTTTTTGACGAACTTAGCGCCTGATGAAAAGAATCCTCTCCCTAGAGGACTGTATGCAACAATACCAATGCCAAGTTCCCTGAGAAATTTAGGCAAGTGTGATAAATTATAACGAATTTGGTACCTACTTGTTATTTACAAATAAAATAGTTATATCAGTTCAATAAAGCCTCACCGGCAAGTAGGAACTATTTCTGCCTCAGCATCTCTCGACCACAAGGACCACTCCAACTGCACAGCTGTTATTGGATGAACAGCATGTGCTCTTCTTATTGTAGAAGCGGAGGCCTCAGATAGGCCAATGTACTTCACCTTACCCTCTTCAACTAGTTTCTTCAATTCCCCTACCTTGCAAAAGATATAATGAAGGAATTTAAGGAATCAAAAGAAAACGCTCAAAATAAGTTATTCATGATAATCAATACTGCATTTTATGATACTCTAGAGCAAGTCCCAAAAAAAGGATGCAATCACATTGAGATATGAACTAAACTTTAAAAAATTACAACTAATTTGCCATCACAAACAAGGGGTTCCTGTTATTTGAGAAATGAGGTCAAACCGTGACTTCCGCAAGGTAAACCACAAATGAAATCAAATTGAGGAATTGATAAAACTTGTGACTAAAAATGATACAAGATGTTGTAAATCTTCGGATAAACATGACTTTCCTAGGCCTGCAGATGCATATTGCTCTGTAATTGCTATTAAAGGAGATCAAATCTCAAAGAGGGAAGAAGACAAACCGTGACTTCTATGGGTACAGTGGGGTCAATCCGATGCTGGTAATAGAGATCAACAGAATCAACACCAAGGCGCTTCAAGCTATCCTCAGCAGCAGCCCTCACATAGGCAGGGTCACCTCGCACCTCCCTCTTCTTGTCTACTAAGTAGATGCCAAACTTGGTGGCCAATTCAACCTTCTCTCTTACCCCTCCCTTCAGAGCCTGTTCCTCATCAATCCAACAAAATCTAGTTCACTTCATCATCATCAATCGCAATTAATTGAAAAATCTAAACAAAACCCAAAAAAGCAATTACATTTATCATTGTCTCTCCCAATGCTTGTGCTTGGCTGGCTTAGTATCTTAAATACAGGAACCAGAGTGAACACAACCCAATTCACTTCTTCACTAATTCATTCCATTCAACAATACAAACAAAACCCACAAAGCAATTGTACAAATTATTGTCTCTCTCAGTGCTTGTGCTTGATTTAGTAACTTAAATACAGGAACAAGACTGAACCAAACCAAGCCCAATTCATTTTATCATCAACTCATCCAATTTAACAGCCCAAACAAACCCAAAAAGCAATTGATACAAATTATGAGCAAATATTAAGAAGCAAAGTCGAGGTTAGTGGCGTACCTTGCCAAGCAGAATTTCGTTGGTAAAGGGGCCGTAGAAGTCAGAGGTGTCGAGGAAGGTGACGCCGGAGTCAATGGCATGGTGGATGAGACTGATCATGTCTGCGTCGGGCTTCGGAGCGTCATAGAAGCCAGACATGCCTATACATCCCAGGCCTTGAGCAGAGACCTCAAGGCCTTGTGAACCCAACTTTATTCTCCTCACTCCTCCTGCCATTTGCTATCTGTGGTTGTTTCAGTTTGGTTCGTATATTTATATCTGCAGAAAGTGAAAACTTCAAACGAGCTGGCCAATCAGAAACAATTCACTGAAGTGCAGCAAGCGTCATGGCTGACGCGGAAGCCATTGCAACTGATGCTTGTCTTTTGAACAAGCCACCGTCTGGTATTCGCTCTCGCCCTTCCATCCGGCAAAAAGACATATATTTGTATTATTTAATTTTAAAAGGAATACATTTTTGTAATAATTTGGACACCGAATTATCCCTTTACATTTAACAGAAATTAAAAAAATGTGACCAAAATTGAGGATTCTATCTGTTTTGTTTCAAATTGAAATGGCAGAGAACAAAGTGGTAAACTATTTTATAATGTTTTGTGACCAAAAGTGACTTTTGCCATAAAAGATCAAATAAATAATTTTTTTTGAAAAGGAGATAGAAAATATAACAAAAACAATTGAATCAATTGAATCAATCCCACCTACTCCATCTTATCTGTTCGACAGCCACTAACCCCAACCTACTCCATCCCTCCCCTCTCTCCGACAGCCAGTAACGCAACCCCATCAATTGAATCAATCCTTACCCAGGCATCTTTCTCCTTCCATTAATCAAACTCAGAAAAAAGTTCTTGTGTTTCTTTTACTCATCAAACTTAGTTTCTCCTTCTCAATTCATGAAACCCAGTCAAACACAAAATGAGTAAACTAAACAAACCCAGCAGCTCAGAAAGAGGTTTAACAAATTAAAAATATGAACTTCAATTGCTGAGAAATCCCAACCTTCAGACTAATGTCTCATCTCAAAATGAAATCACCATATTTGAAGGGAAGATTCCCAAACCAGCACACCAGACCATGCTATTAGAAAGAGGTTTAACAAATTTGGGTCAGGTTTGATTTTGTGCTAGAGGTGTTTTTTTTTTGGGGGGGGGGGGGGGGGGGGTAGGTGGGTGTACTGCGAAATTTTTTTAGGGCGGCTACGCATGGTGTCCAAGAAGGGGAAGGGGGCTGAGGGAGATTTCGACATGGAGATGGCGGATTGTGGCATGTGGCTTGGGAGCAGGCGATGCCTAGTGCTGGAGAGAGAGTTTTTTGTTTCTTTTTTGTTTTTCCTTTCTTATTTTTATTTTTCAATTCATGTGTGACCATTGATTGCCATATCATCATTTAACAAAGCATTTGGCGGGAATGACTGATGGATGTATAGGAATAGTAGAAAAGTCAAACTTTTTGTATGAAGTTGATGAGAAAAAACCTTGATGTTGTAAAGTTTGAATTTCGGAAAACTTCTAGACTATAAATTGAAATTTACCCTTAATTATAATAACAAGTTGCCTCTGTTGGGAACAACTACGATGGTTCGTTTCAAGAATGATGTGTGACACCTCGACCCAATTTTAATTGTTTATTAAATTTATTAAATTTATTTAAGTGTGAAATTACAATTTTGTCTTTGGGAAAAGGTCATGATAGTCACTTTTCTATCTGTAAGGATTTTGGGATTTGAGTGGCATTGTTGCGTAGAGCTCGTCGATACGAATTCATAGACACGTAGTGGACTCAAATCGGAATTTTAACGAAGAAGTTATGGTCAACAGAAGTATAGCAGTACAATCGTAAATATTTCAAAGTTAGAATTTTAAAAACCCAGCTCAGTCTCTCTCTATCTCTCTTGCATCTCTCTCATTTCTCTCTCCTCCTCCCCCGACTATCTCCCTTCGCGAACCAGGCCGGCCACGTTTGGTTGGCATTAGAGTTACTCCGGCCACGCTAGGTCATGGGACCCTTTGGAAAATGACCAGCACAAACTGGCGAAGGCATCTGCGTTGAAGCCCCACCACCCTAGGCCGTCAAGTCACCACTATGAGCTCGGAAACAGCCGCAACAGTCGGAGCTTTCCGACAACATTTCTGGCTGCTCCAGTGACGAAATTGGTTGATCCAAGTATGCTTTCTCATCTTAATGAGATCTAGCTATCTATTCAGGTGGTTTGGGTCAATTTTGGGTTTTTGAAACTCAATCTAGAACCTAGGTTTTGACCGATTTCTAGCTTGATTTTCCGGCAAGTTCCGGCCACTTTTTGGTTGTGGCCTAAGACCCAAAGTTGCTTCCCTAGTTGTCACAATCTTGTAGGTATAGGTATTGTCGGGTGTTTCGAGAATTTTTCGGTCGCCGAAATTTTCTCAAGGCACCCATGCGTTGCAGGCACCTGGGCCTTGGTGTGGTGGCCCATCTTGTTCTAAAATGTTCCCCATGTCGTCCCGAGCACGACGGTATGCTCAAATTCGAATAGTGTTATTGTTTGATGGTCGAACGAATTTACACCTATTAGGTGATATCCAGGTTCGATATGTTCAGATCGTTGGATCGACTCCATTTCCAAATATGTTAATCTATATACCTCTAGAATCATGTAGGAACCCACAGATAGAGAATTGGAGTCCTGGGGTACTCCGAATCAATTATTCAAGGATTACGTAAAACGGTGACCGTCTAATCATGTGATCGAGAGCGATCTCACCGCTCGATCAAGACCAAACTTGCAGAACTGGTTTAGTAGGCTTGGTTGAACTCATAGGAACTTTCAGAGGAGGTCGTGGGCCACGCAAGCCCAATTGACTAAATTTGGGAAGTTTGACCACTCGGTTGACTGAAAGTCTTCCTAGGTTATTCCACCTTTCGAAACGCATAGTTGGACCTTAGAAACTCCCCGTTCGTCGTACACACACTTGAGTCTCGGGAAAACTAGGAGTTTGTTTTTAAAGTTCTCTTTCGAAGTATTTTATTTAATCTAGTCCTCGTATTCTTCAATAGGTACTCCGGCTCAACGTACTCAGCAAGCAGGACCCTCTCAGGGTCACGCAGCTTCGAACTTTCTGCGAGTGGACTTTGTTTTGAGCAAGCATTATTTTCAAAGATTAGATTACCATGCATTTAAATTGGATTATTTTGAATATGGAGTTGAAATATTATTTTAATTATGGAATTTGCAGTCGTTTGGATATTTAAACTTCATAATTATTTTGGATATGGTTTATATGCTTTGAGAAGTTGTTATTTACATTATGATTTAAGAACTGGGCACGTGGTGTATGAGAGTCTGTACTTTGTTGATTGTTATGTCAGTATTGTGTTTGCACCATGCTAAGTACCCTCCCCTAGTTGTTGTACCCATATGTGGCGTTGGATTTTCCAGTGTGTGGGCTCACTTGGTTATGTTAGAACTTTATCACACGTGGCGTTGGATTTTTTGACGTGTGATAAAGCAATCTACGCGTGTAGGACATAGTTGGTTTGGTTTGGCCACATGTGGGGTTAGATTTTCTGGTGTGTGTGCTATTAACTGGCAGTCCCCCGATTGGACAGCTCATCCCTAGATGTAGGGTAGAAAGTTGAAACCCTTCGGGCTAGTCAAACAATCCCTGTGTTGGATTGTTTTCCCCAGTACTCGTATTGGTGTGAGATTATCGTATATAGATATTATATGTATATTTATGAATTTTCAGGCGTATACCTATACCATCATGAGAATTTTCATGGTCTATATGTATATAACTATATATATGTATACACTTAACTACTTTAAAATTTTTCCTTACATACTACGTTTTGTAAACCTATATCTCGAGAAGGGGTTTGGTTAGAGTCAAAAGAAATTGAACTTGGTTAGAACTATACTATATCGGGAGTATGGGAATACCTTAGTTTCATATTGATTTCGTATGAATGGTTTCAATTGCATGTTTTAGCATCGTTTTTCAAACAGTGGGGTTAGTATGTTTTTTTACAAAAAAAAAAAAAAAAAAAAAAAAAAAAGTCCACTCATAATTTTCTGTTTTACACCCCTAGGCAATAGCTTGATTTGAGCCGAGCGGGTGAGCCGAGACTTGAATTTCCGAGGCCTGAACTTCTATAAGGCAATCTTTATTTGTCTCTATTTCCGTTGAACTTTGTTTTCAGTTGTAAACTGAATTGCTCTAGGATTGCTCTATTATCGCCTATGTTAGGGTTGGATGTAAGGCCGGAGGCCAATTCTGTAATTATGTGCTTTTGTATTGTGCATACTGCTGGTTCAGAATTATTATTGTATTTTTGGATAGGTTGAAATTTTTGGGAAAAGTCCCTTTTTTAGGGGATACTTTGCCGAAATTTCGGCAGAAAGTCTCGACCCTCGTTTCCTTTGTTTTTGGAGAAGAGGATGATGTTAGTAAGTGGGTCCGGCATCAAGTGGATGTCGGAAAAACCATAGGGTTCATCACAGATTGCGAGGAATTTGGAGCGGGTCCTGTCATGATGTTTGGGTTTTATATAAACCCAACAGTTTCCTCCTTAAAGATAAGTTCTAACTCGTGGAAAAACAAAGAGTATTTCCCCAGTGCTCTAATTTACTCATTTGATCAATTTTGAGTCTAGTCAACAGAGTACAGATATATACTTGGTTCGCCAGAGTCTTAAAT